AGCCAGAGCATCTCTGAGTCCAGGAGGTCCTCGCAGGAAGATGAGAGGCTGCAAATGCTCTTGTGAGAACGACAGTGAGTTTCTGGTGCCTGGCGGATTGCTTACTCCACAGGAGCATCGCTCACGTCCCAGGAGGAATTTGTAAGGCTTGGGAGGCAGGGTCCTCTAAGAGGGCAGCAACATTTTCACTTCCGTACGTGTCTGTGTCTCTTCTCATAGCAGCAAACAGAACCTTTACATGCTCTGACTGTTGGCATCTTCCAATATCCCTGTCACTGTCCAGTTATGCAAAGATGCACATGACAAGGACAAGAATCCCTGACTGTGCTGTTTGGCTGAGGACAATACAGGTGTGGACCAGTGGCCACTGCATATTTGTCTCTCTCCCTTCTTCCAAGTGGCAGTTTAAGACAACTGTCCTCGTCTATCCTCTCGTCACCACTGTCTCTTTGGCATGCTGTGGTGGTTAACATTGTCATTAGCCCCAGGACTGTGAGGAGCCTTATCAGGCCCCTCGTCCGGGGCCGAGAAGACTTCGCAACTCCCTGAGACCTGGATGTGGGGCTGGCTGCAAGAACTGGTTAAGACTCTGAGATGTCTCTCTCTCTGGGGAGAGGATAACTGCATTTCTAATCATATGTGGGACAGTTTAATTTGGGGCATTTTAAATATGTGTATGTGACAAGAAAGGGGTGGAGTATAGTAGACATTTGCTATTTTGGGTCCATCCAGAAATCATCCCTCTAATTTTGACAACAGCCCTGGATTTTTACTTCTTGGGAAGGTGACTATATGGCTAGTCCATGGGTGGCATGTGACTACTTATGAACTGTCAAGGGTTCATATTTCCCAGGTCACCGTGATTTATTTAAGGGTGGTCATGTGACCCAGCAGGGCCAATAACACATCATGAGGCATTTGTGGGGACTTGAGACTCAGAGGCAGTTCTTTCCTGCTGGTTTTGACACCAGAGGCGGTAAGGTCCAAGTACTGCCACCATGTTCCTGCTTGAAAAGCTCCAGTAACCCAGAGGAAAGAGAGCTGCAATGTGCAGAAAGAGCAAAGACCTAGCAGCTTGGTTTTAGTTCCCATATCAATCGACACCTGAGGTTGCCCTATCCCTGGATTTTCATGTGTGTGAGCCCACGGGTTCCTCTTCCTTAGACCAGTTTGGGTTGAGGGTCCCCTTTGAAACTACCTACCTCATAAATTTAAAAAATGATATGTAAACAAGGTGTGACCTTGCTAACGTATTGAAAGGAACTTTGTAATTTTATAGGCAACTCTAATAATCTGGTACTGAGCAAACTTTAGGGATTTTGTCCCCTGGTGAGTCTGAGGGACTTTTTTTTTTTTTTTACCAGTGAATGACAGGATTTTGGTGCCATTCCTTGTGCGGTGATGATGGTCAGCATTTTGTACCTTAAATTGCTCTGAAAAACCATGCTTTCCCCCTTCCTGTCTTTTTCTCAAAAGGAACTTCCTGACATTTAAAATATGTATAAAGTAATAAATTTCAGTCTGCAGATAGACAAAACAGCTATTAAGTTATGAGAAAACATTATAAAGTAGGAGATGGAGCCAACAGCCCAGAGCAAGAGGGTGGTGTCAGGTTGGAGCTGGGAGCTGGAGAGGAGGAGGAGGCCTGGACAGGTTGCTCCAGACCCGCATGGACCGAGTCAGCGGGGATGAAGGAGAGTGCTGGGGGCAGCCCTGAGGCCTCGATGAGGTCTGAAAGCCCGGATTCTCAGAACTAGAAAGATGTCAGTGACTTTCCTCAACACAGGCCACTCGCAGCAGCTGAGTGGCTGGGATGCCCAAGGGCTCGCCCAGGGCTGAGGATGGGCTGGCCAAGTGTGCCAGGGTCCTGGGGGCAAGGTCCCCCAGCGAGTCAGGGCAAAGTTCAAGTGGGTGACCAGGACACTCGATAAACACCTGGAAGGGATTGCATGTTGGTGAGATTAGTCCAGTACGTTTTTGAGAGCAATTAACAAATTTCTCTCAGCTTTCTGACTTCTCAGAAAGATTAGAACTGCAGATCACATGACTTCTGAAGAAGAAGAACTCACAATGTGTTAGAAATTGTACAAGGAAACACAATCTAAAGCCTCACAGCTATTTTAAAATCAAATAATGGAGTTGAATTTGAAATATTGTGTGACTATCTTAAATTTTAGGAATTAAGAATTGAGTTGCTTAAAAAAACAATGGGTATGTACATGCAACTGCCTTCAAGGCACCGTTTTCAGTGTGACAGATGCCACACTCCTCTCCCGGTTTGCAAGGGGGGTTTAAACCAGAGGTAGAACTTCCCCAGACTTTGGTGAGAGGCAAAATAGGTCCTGGTACTGAATGGGGGTTCCTGAGTCTTTGTCTCCCATTAGCCTTATTGGCACATGTCATGGCCTGGCTATTTACAAAAGGCACCCAGGTATAGGCAGGTATCTAGAGCGATACACAGAAAGGAACAATGCAGGGAAGGTCAAGAAAAGCCTCTGCTCCTGGAATCGGCAGGGCTGGAAGAAGTGGAAGGGGGCAGCGTCACAGATGACTGCCCTGAACGTGCCGTGGAGAACCCAGGCACTGCCCAGCCTGGGCCCTGCTGTCTGATGCCCCAGCATTTCTCTGTCTCTGCCTCTCTTGTGTCTGGGGCACTGGAACCCATTCTGTACGGTAGGTGAGGACTCAGATGAGCTGTCAGCTGACTCACTGTTAGGTGTTCTCCCTGCCCCCAGGGCTGCTACCCCGCCTTCCCTTTCTCATCCTGCTTTCTCACAAATTCTCAGAAGGACCTGCCTTGCATGACACCCATTTGTCTCTTCTGCAGTTCAGAAGCTGCCTACAGTCCTGTCTCCGAGGTTCAAGTGCCCCTAAAACTACTGACAACAACTGGTGAAGACTTGTTCTTGGTTCTGATCAGGATTCGCCCCCATGGAGGCTGTTAATCAGACCCATTTACTGCTCCTTCTCCACTCCCCCTCACAGGGTGCCCCGCTCTGCTCCCAGCATGCTATGCAGCTGGCATCCTGCACTCTGGTTTCAGGCCCTGTGGGATCTGATGCTGTCAAGGCTTTTTAAGTTATCAGAGACACTGCTATGTAGAGAAAAGGCCTGTTATTCCTCCAGACCCTATATTTATCTTAAAATTGTTTTCTTCACTACATGTTTTCTTCACTACACCCTGGTGTGAATTATTTTTTAAAATGCCAGTAAAGTACCAAAATAACTCCCTCTTTATCTATGAAGCATTCTTTTCTTTTGTATTAAAAAAAAAAACAAACCAATCCTGTGTATGCTATTGGAAGAGTTCCTAATCTGGCACACTGAAGAAAATGAGGTAGCTTCAAAATTCTAGAAATTAAGGTTGAAAATTGTTCTTAGGGTCATCTCCACCTTCAGCTCACCCACCTCCTCCAACATTGAGCAGGTATGAGACTTTTGTAGACCTGTACAAAGAGACACCAAGCCCAAGAGAGGTTCGGACGAGCCTCACTTAAGGCTAGGAATCAGCTGCAGTGTTTGGAAGCAGGACTTTGATTCGATTTCCACATCTCAGTGGCCAGTCTCACCCATGGCATGATGAAGCACTGGTTGCAGAAGTCAGCCACAACCAACCTTGGATCAGTAGCCAAGTCAACTCATTACGTAATGTTATGTGAAACTGGAAAGGTTGGGCAATTTTCTTTCAAAACAATGTTTAACTCCTGCCAAGTGTTCTTTAGAGAAGATTATTTAAGTGGAAGGTTTATTCATGAACATATGTGCCTACGGTCCTTTTTTCTTTATTCTTAGAATTAGGTCCTTCAAATTATTTTCTCTTTGTGGCCACTAGAAAACCATGTTGCAAGCAGAATAAACTATAATTTATAGACTATTACAGAAAATCTCTATCATTTTTTAAAAAATCGAAACAGAAATTGGAACCTTTATAGTGACATCTAACAAAAAATGCTGGGAAATAATTAGGGTTGTTTTTCCCCCACATCAGATGCGATCTTCTTGCCTTTAGCACACCTACGATTTATCAAGCTTATTTTAACTTCTGGCACTGAACTGGAACAGGAGGGGGAAATGACATTTTATTTCTTTGTATCTGAATTCCTACCCAAGAGTAGAAAGTGCTAGATCAGATTTGTTACATGCTTTTCATTAGGCAGCAGGCCATGCTGAATGCCAAAAACCACTTCTCAATGACACACACCACAGATCCAGGGTGCTGTGGCCACTGAACCCACGTCAGTGTGAGGATCCCACGGAGAATTCTTAAACATCTTTGAGATCCATGAAATTCTCTTGAGATGTTAAATGTTTTTACTCAATATTTATCCTCCCTTCTATGAATATGATAAATAGTAATTATGAGCTTTCTTTTTTTTACAAACATTAAAGTACTTGACGTACTTTATAGTACATCAAAATAGTACATCAAAAAGGCCTAAAATATCACCAGCAGCTTTCCTTCTCTGCACAAGATCCAAGACACACAAGTCAAATGGGCCTGGAATTGTCAAACACACCTGCACAAATGTGGTAGGTGACAATGCAGTAAGAAAAGGTACACGAAGTGACACGGAGTAATGCAGGGACTCTGGTGAGAAGGGAGGATTGCTTTTCACAACCCACAAACACTCTCTCATAGCGAAGGCTGCCTCCTTCCTGCCTGTCAGCATGCTGTCCTCGCAGCCACCACATTCAAGACAGCTTTTTGGCTATCCCAGCATCCTCTCTGGGCAAGGGGAGCCCAGTCCAACCAAATCCCATGTCTAGTCAAGTCATATTCCATGAACAGCTTTGGCAAAGTCTAACCCACCCTTTGCCATATATGGAGGGCTGTGGGCAACCTCCCCCAAATTAAGCCTGTGTGCACGTGAAGACTCTGTGCATACATATAAAAAACTGGCTTAAGAAGCATCTTTGAGGGCAAAGAAAGTGCACTGTGGTTTAAATGAGTTTCTTGTCATCAGGTACAATAAATGCAAACAAACCTGGCGACACCATACCTTTCTTCCATGGAAACTTCTTTCATCTGCTGGTGTGGTTTCGTGCCTTCCATTTCCCTGATGCTGACAGCATAGATCTTGGTGGTGTAATCAATGGCCTTTTCTCTAGCAACGTCACTGTCGTAGCCTCAAACAACAGGAGGAGGAGAGGAGTGGAGTTGGCTTGCTGTGGCTCAGGAGGGGATGGGGAGGAAGGTGCGACTGATGCGTGGCAGATGCGACTCACCTCCATCCTCTTCGGCGTCCGTGTCCGACTCCTCGCTGTCCACCAGCTTGCTCTCCTGGGTCCCCACAAACTCCCTGGTCCAGATCATCAGGGCTGTGTCGGCGCCACCGACCGTGAGCAGCACGGAGTCGTTGTGCAGCCATCGCACGTTGGTGACGTGGGCACTGTGCCCCACGTACTTCTTGAACCTCGCGTGCTGGCCCTGTGAAGCCAGAAACTGGCAATTACCCTACCCAGGTCTCTATTCTCGTGTCTGGATTATTTCATCCACTTTATTTCCTGGAGTGGTTTCTACTGGACACAAATGAAACATTTAAGCAGCAAGTTTCTTACATTTTCTACAATGTGAGCTCCAAAAGGGCAGGGACTAGGTGTTTTTTTTCCCTAAAACATTGCCTGGCTCATCGTAGGTCTTCAAAAAACAGTTTGCAAGGGAATGAATTAAATGTTAGGCTACAGGACCTGTTTCTGGGAGCGTAAGAATATAAAAAGCTTGTTTCTGCTTCTCTCGGATATCGAATGTGCATTCTCCACAGGTCTCCAGTGTAAACTTCTGATTGAGAGTCTGGCTGACATTTGAGATCAGAAGTGTCCTCCCAGGTCATCCCCACAGTGGTTTTTGTGCCACAGCCCAGACTAGCGCAGATCAGCAAGGGACTCCTTCTAATCCTGGGGCCTCGGTAACACTTAAAATATGCACAACAGTTTCGGCCATGGACACTGGAAACAATCTCTAACACAGAAACACTCAACTAGTTGATTAAAAAAAAGTAAGCTGCTTTTCAACAAACACAATTAAGTAAATAGAACCCAGTTTATTAGTAATTACCGAGAGCTCTTCCGAGCAGCACACTCGGTGGGAAGGGCAAGTGACTGTGAGGCGGAGGCTCACCCGGGGTGGCCTGGACAAGGAGCGGGGAGGTGCAGCTGCCACCAGAAGCCAGCTTCCATTTCTGGCTCATGCACCATGGTCTGGCAAAAACAGCTCCGGTGGGAGCCATTTGAAAAGGGGGAGTTTTTCCATCCTCTCAGCGACTCCCAGGGAATACCTTACACAATGTGGGAAGCTGCATGTACTTTCTGAAGTCATGAGAGGGCCATCAGCGTCCCAAATAAAAACTATTCAGTAGTAGACAAGAGGCCCCCAGAGGGTTTTGGACTGGCATGCTGGGGAACCTGAAACCGCCACAGACATGCAGGAGACAGGTGCAGGAGAGTGAGAGACTTGAAAATACTCTTGGTCGAGATCTCTCTGGATTTGGCTGACCCCCACCTGACAGCGGAGTGGGACTGCCTGCTCCTCAGCAGAGTACTGAGTCTAGAGAGTCTAGGGAGCAGACAGGTCAGCAGCGTTTCCAGGAAGCCCTCCAGAGCCACCAGTTTGCTAAGCAAATAGACAGAACCATGTAAGGATTCCCAGTGGAACCCGCTGTGTGGCCCTGTGAGATCCAGAAGGCGAGGACACAAAGACAACATTCATGTGGCTGCAGCCAGGTGTCCTGCTGGTCTTCCTGCTGGAAGCAAGAACCGACCCATTTTGTAAGTCGGTGTTTGAGAGAAGGAGAAGAAAGTGAAAGAGTTTGAGAAATGCCTCTTCATACTCCCACTTATATGAAGGAACACAGGGTTTCTAGAGAGGATGGGAAAAAGGATCCAAAAAGAAAGATTCGGGGGAAAATATTCTAAGGTGATCAGAATCTTTGCAGAGGGAAGGAAAGTGATGAAAGGACTGAGAAAATTTCTGAGTCAATTCCAGCAAAGGCTGATTCAAGATTCTCAGAACGGGAAGCATGATTACTGCTCCATGAAACAATAAAAGGGATTCACAGTTACTAGAAGGTTCCAGGAACCCAGCTGCTCCCGTGGGAGGCGGCGGCTGGCAGGCATGTTCGGTGGCTCTCTTAGGGCCTATGGAAGGAGGCTCCTGAAGACCTGGCTGGTCCTTCTGGGCCATCACGGCAAATCCTGCATTTCCGTCAGCACCACCAGAACTCGCTCCCACAACTCTCCCAGAGAGCACTGAAGCTCAAAGAAGCCAAAGCCCGTCCCTGGAGCGCTGGCTGTTATCTGTTTTTAGGGGAGAAATCCCTGAGGACCTGGTGAAAGCTACCTGCTCTCTCCCTGCACTCATGACAGTTCACACACAGCGCCTCCACATGAAAAACGCTACGTATGAGGCTCCTCTTTGGAGAACCAGTCTCTTGAGCCTTTGATGGCCTGAGGAAGAAACTTAAGAACCTAAGGGTGGGTTTTAAAAACATAAATGACATGGTGATGTACATTGTTTATCCTTAAGTTTGCTTCGTGACACTTTTCTAATGGAGGATATAAGGTTGCTAAATTACTGGTGATTTTACAACTTCACAAGAGATAAAAGAAATATATCAATAAAGGGTCATCAATAGACAAGTTCTAGATATTATATGCTGAATTATAGCTAATTTCTAGATGACCTAGAGTGTGGGTAGCATCTTCAGGGATGCCAAAGTCCACAGTAGCTTTAAAGAAAGGGGAGAATTAAAAACATGGGGTAACAATAATTACAGTAAAAACTAAAAGTTTGGGACATTTCCCACATAGGAGGCATTACTCTCAATGTTTCATAACTAATTCGTATAATGACATAACATCCCATTAGAGAGAGATTTGTTCCTGTCCTGTAGGAGACCCAACTCTGTCAGAGATTCTAAGAAACTCCCTTAGGTCAAACAGTTCATGCCAGAGCCAGCACCTGAACCAGGGGGTTTGGCTTTAGAATGGGGGGTGGTGATATTTTATTTTTTAAAAGATTTTATTTATTTTTAGAGAGAGGGCTAGGGAGGGAGAAAGAGAAGGAGAGAAACCCCAATGTGTGAGAGAAATCAGCTGCCCCTCACACACACTCCAGCCAGGAAGGGGCTGCAAACCAGCATGTATGCTGCCTGGGAATCAAACCTGCGACCTTTTGCTTTGCAGGATGATGCTCAACCAACTAAGCCATGCCAGTCAGGGCAACCGTGATATTTTAACCTCTCCAGTGTAGGGGCAGGGCACCGTTTTGGAAAAGAAGGGGCAAGATGGGAAGCAATCAGCTAGCTATACAGAATTGGTGTCAAAGGACAGAATCGCACGTGGTTTAATGTACTGGAAAAATGGGTGGGCTCCAGCAAAGGAGAGTCGATCTCACTGAGGCTAGAATGAGATTTTCAGGGGACTAACAACTCATCACAAAGATTTTAAACTATGAAACTGAATATGTAAGGATTCATCATTGCCATGGAAGCAAAAATGCCTGGAAGAGATGTCTGTGAACTCACAGGAAGGTGGAACAAGGAAAAGGGCCAAGGAGATGACATGATCTTAGAATCTAATAAGCGGAACTTAAATTTTGGACATAGAGAGAGCTGCGCAGTGGTAAGATCTCATAGGTACCAATGAGCCTTGACGACATGGAGCTCAACGCTGGAATATTGCAGTGGGACGCTGTCTTAGTCTGGTCGGGCTGCCATCACAAAACATGACATGCTGGGTGGCTTAAGCAACAGAAATTTATTTCTCACAGCTCTGGGGGCTGGGAGATCTGAGAGCAAGGTGCCAGTCAGTCTGGTCCCTAGTGAGAGCTCTCCTCTTGGCTATGGACACCACTGTCTCACTGTGGGGCTCCATGGCCTTCCCTGGGTGTGTTTGCGCATTGAGAGAAAGTGTGCTCTTTGGTATCTGTTATAAGGGCACTAATCTTATTGGATCTGGGCTCCATCCTTATGACTTTGTTTAGCCTTAATTATTTTCATAAAGGCCCTATTTCCAAATATAATCACACTGGGAGTTAGGGCTTCAACATATGAATTTTGATGGGAACACATTCAGTCTGTAACAGGTGGTGAACTCTGTCCAGCATACCTAGGGCAGTGGAAGAGTGTAACTACACAGCTGGAAATACTCATCAGATTGGGTACATGTATTTGGAAGGAAAAGTGTGTCAGAAAAATGAGATTAAAAAAAGAAAAAGCAGAGAAAGAGAAGTAATACTATTAAAGAAGTTTATATTGGCCAGTGGTTTTAAGTTATGAAACTATTGCTTCAATCAAATCTTACAACATAGAATCCAAGAATAGAAAGATAAACAATCCAATTTAAACTCATGGACAAAAGGTTTGTACAAACACTTCGCAAATGGCCAATAAGCAGAGAGCCCTCAATGTCATCAGTCAGCAGGGCAATGTAGATTACAAACACAATGAGTTCATGCTCCTGATTCCCCAGCACGGCTAAATTTTACTAGTCTGCCGACACTGAATGTTGGCAGCTAAAACTATTACATTTTTTTTTTGGTGGGAAAGGAAAATGGAAAAAGGTCTGGCAGTTTCTTAAAAAGTTAAACATACATTTTCTCCTATGACCTAGAAATTCTAGTCCTACGTATTTACTTAAGAGAAGGAAAACATATGCCCACAAGTATTTGTCCAAAAATGTTCACGGCAACTTTATTATAACCAAACACTGGAAAAACATGTCATCCTCATTAGCCAGGTAAATAAAAAAAAAACTCTGTTATATCTATACAATGGAATTCCATTCAGCTATAAACAAAAGTAACATACTATTATACCCACAACAACATGGAGAAATCTCAGAAACCTCACCTGAGTGAAGGAAGCCCGACACAGAACAGTACCTACTTGGTTATTGCATTTGCATGAAGTTCTGGCGCAGGTCAAACTAATCCATGATGAAAATCATAGGAATATTTTTTTCATCTGAGGGTGAGTGGTAGGTAGAGATTGATTGGGAAGGAGCATGAGGAACCTCCTGGGGTGATGATAATGTTTTATAACTTGATAGGTGTTTGGATTACACAGGTGAATCACTTAGGGGTAAGTATCCTGATGTCTCTACATTTATGCTGAAGTAGTCTCTATGTGGTGGGGTTCTAGGAGTTCACGGCATCCTTCTTCCACCTTCCCTGTATGTTTGAAATTTTTTCTAACAAGCTGTCATAAAAACAATCTTCTGTGCAGAAGATCAGTAGATGGCATACAAAACACAGAGTGACCCCAGCTGAAGCAGAGGTGGGGCCCCAGAGCCCTCCCCCCGATTGGCCCTCCTTTGTTTCCTGGGGTGGTCCCTGAGGAACCTCCCTGGAACTCTGGGAGTCTGAGGAACCCAAGGTTCCGTGACCGCTACAGACAGTACAGCTGGGAGGGGTGTGGGTGATGAATTCCAGGACCAACAATAAACCCAGCACACGCACACGATGCAGTGGCATCCGGGACCTCGGCCACCTGCATACAGGCCCAACCTTAGTCTACTAATACCAGGGTATCCCCAACTTGTCCAGCTAGCAATCTCATTCCAAAAAAAAAAACAGTAGTAGCCAGGAAATTTGCTACATGAAACTTAATTCTGATCAAATAAGAAAAGCTGGTAACTGGCAGGGAAGGAAGGGATCACTGTGTTAATTTGAAATTTGGGATGAACAATGAAGAGAACACTGGACATCATCAGAAGTGAGTCTTGGAAAAAAATGACCAGAGATTATTCTCTAACCAAACATTGACAAATGTAGAGGGAGACAAGAAAGCATCTGAAGATACCGAAATGGCTGTGGAGGAAACTGCTGTGTTCAGGTCAATGAGCGCATGATGGAGGCGGGCAGGGGGTTGGGGGGCGGACAACCAAGGATGAATACAAAAGTTTTGCACGGACAACTTTAATGTAGTTTCAGAATGTTAAAGAAACTAAGAACATTGAAAAGGATTTTATATGTGTAGGGCTAAAACAAAAATAGAGACATGTTAGGAACACTTCTTAAACTGTATAGTTTAATATGAACAGAAAGTAGACTTACTCATTTCCTCTGTTAAAGAGAATGCTCTTTAAACCAGAAAGGGCAAAACGGAGCTCATGTACCCAAGTACAGGTGCCTTCAAATGTGGCTGCAGAAGTAAAGTCAGTAACAGCCTAGCAGTTTAGAAATCAGGGGAGGTGACATCAAACATAAAAAGATTCCTGTATCTTAAAGGGAAAGCAAGTAGACTTTGGCAAATATTGATTCATGAGTTGATGCAATCCCTGGAAAATTCTAGGGTGAATTATTACACAGAAGGTCTATTAGCACTTGGAAAAGGAAATGGTGATTACTAGGCAGCAAGAGGGGTTCACTGTGAACTCCCCCACATTTTCTGTTGGTTGGTCTGTCAGAAGGGGAGATTAAGGATACCAGAGACACAGTCCATCTGGGTGTTAGCAAGATAAGTGCCAAGTCTTTAATGATGTCTTGTTGGACTGGAGGGGGAAACGTGAGGTCCCTGACAGCATAATCAGATGGATGTAAATGTGTTCCTGAGAACCACAGTGAAATGTGTGCATTAATACTGGAATGTCAGATTGAATGGGGGCTCCCAGTGGTGGTGCTTGGTTGTTCTAGTCTATGTTTTTTCTTTCCACAATTTAGAGCCCACACTTGTGAAATCAGAGGAGGACATGATGCTGAAAGAGAAAGTAGGTACTCAGAAGAAGTATTTAAAAAAATATTGGCAGTTTGGAACAAGGAGATCAAATAAACAAGAGAAGTCTTATTTGGTACAAAGACAAAGTTCTGTACTCAGAGTTTAGAATTTAGAAAGTCAGTTGTGTAAGTACAAGAAGGGGGAGAGAACCCAGACATTTTTGGCAATGATACCTATGATTCAGTTGTGTAGTGTGGCAGCCAAAAGAGCTGATGCCATTTTAGTTTAATTTAAAATAAATATAAAATCAAGACAAGAAGATAAAAGTCCCACTATACCCTGCGCTGGTCAGATTACATCTGAAGCACTGAATTCAGTCTCCGATCAGACAGTTTAAAATGGGAGAAAAAGGAGTGTGCTCAGAGGGAGGGGCAGCTGGAAACCATGTCCAGTGGGAAATGGCTGAAGAGCGGGGGAGTTTAGGCTGGAGGGAATAAGACTTCGGGGAGTCAAAGAGGTCCTCCTGTAGACGAGGCTGTAAGAGGACTAGAGTTAATCAGTGATGATTCTGTAGGCAGAACTTTGGCTAAAGAGAAGCCATTTTCAGTTTGACACAAGACAAAAAACATTTTAACAATGGGAGCTATCTTAAAATGAATCAGGCTGCTTTGTGAGGTAGTAAGCTCTCCATCTCAGGAAGTATGCTAGTGTCTGTTAGAAAGACACAGGTCCAGGAGGTTCTAAAGAAAAGTCTTACTTTGCAGTTTGTGAGATGTTGGATTTGGTGACCAGTGAAGGCCTTTCAAAGAGAAATTATATGCCATAGATTCTGACTCAAATTAGCAAACATAATGCCATGGAGGTATTTATACAGTATAGGGACCACACTGTAGATAACATCATTGATTGCTTATGCCTTCGATATTTAAAAATCCACCTAGACACACTAGATAGATTTGGGGTTATTAACGAATCTGAGCAAGTATATGTAACAAACATGCAACGTTACCTTGACAGGATAGGAAAAAAGCTTGACGAAACCAAAGTCATCCCCAGTGGCTAAGAGGGAGCAGTCTTTGGTGAGGCTGGCAGCATTTACATCGGTCACATCGCTGTGTGCGGGCCATATCCCCTCACAGGTGGGCCCCAGGACACAGGTCCACGTGTCCCACTCTATCTTCTCGATCTTAAAAAGAAAAAGAAAATTAATATATTTTGCACAACCTAGAGAGCTTTTTGTTGTATATGAAAGGATCAATTTGAGGCTGAGTAGCTCTCAATGACAACTTTGCCCACATCAGGCATTTGTGTTGGGTACGGAGGTGCACAGTTCTGAGTTGCATGCATGTATGTATGTATGTATGTATGCATTTTTACCTTCACCTGAGGACATTCTTACTGATTTTAGAGAGAGGGGGAGGGAGGCAGAGAAACACTGATCAGCTGCCTCTTGTACATGCCCTCACCAGGGACCAAACCCACAACCCAGGCACATGCCCTGACTGGGAATCGAATCTGATCTTTCTGTTTATGGGACAGCGCTCAACCACCTGGCCAGGGCCTACGTTGCTTTGTAAACTGGTATATGCATTGTCTTGATAAACCAACACTGCAGTAAAATATCCATATATTCTTCTCCAGATCAGATGAACATTTTGGAAGTGTGGAAATGCAACAATGATATTTTTTAGTGCTTACCCGGACATTTATCACTGCATGAGCCGTAAACTAGATCAGGGTTTCTCAGTGTCAGCACTGTAAGCGTTTTAGGCTGAGTAACTCTCTGTTGCCAGGGCCATCCTGTGCATGGTGACACGCTTAGAAGCACCCTTGTCCTCCACCCACTGGATGCCAGTAGCCCCCTTCCCCAGCTTGTTCCCAGACACCCCAAATGTCCCTGGGGCATTTGTTCCCAGATGACACTACTGAGCTACATTCATCAGTGAGGCTGATCATTCAGTAAACTATTTTAAAAAGTTAGAAGACATAACTTTTTAAAGGAATGTTTCTTTGGAGGAAAGAATAATGAGATTCTGTAGCCAGTTTAATATTCTCTATGCTGTTCAGGGACTATCTTAGAAATCCAAAGAGCTGTTCATATTGCTGTGAATATACATTTTATCCTTTAAAACTGTTTTGTCTAAAATTCATGGAGAGGATTTAGCATTTGTACACCTTAAATCCTGATGAAAGTGAGGCTTTCCTCCCTGGCTGGTGTAGCTCAGTGGATTGAGCACGGGCTGCAAACCAAAGCATCACAGGTTCGATTCCCAGTCAGGTCACATGCCTGGGTTGCAGGCCAGGTCCCCAGTGGGGGGCATGTGAGAGGCAACCACACATTGATGTTTCTCTCTCTCTCTCCTTCTCCCTCCCTTCCCTCTCTAAAAATAAATAAATAAAATCATTCTCTTTAAAAAAAGAAAGTGAGGCTTTTCTTTCTTTAAAAATAAAAAAAAAATAATAAACGAGAACTACAGCACTGTGTATTGGACTCTCCTAGGGGATTCCATCTCATTTACTCTCATTCGGGTCTGTTATAATAGAATGAAGTAGAGAGACAATTAAACTCTGCATTGATTTTCTTAGTTTCTTTGGATAAGCACTTCAAGTGACTGTTTAAAAGAGTATAAATATCATTAGAAATTGTAGCTAAAATTAAAGGCCAGACCACTCCTTTGGATCTGGAAACTGCCGTGCAGGTTGCTAAAGCGCCTCGCTTCCAATTCTGTATTTTCTGCCTGCTGTCACTGCTTAGAAAAGAAACTACAAGATAAAGATACAGCCGGTATTTTAGTTGTGAGAGGAGGTGCTATTCATATTTTCATCACTCAAATTGGTCCTGATTTAATGCTCTGTGTTTCTTCTGGACACACACAGGAATGGAACCCAAAACCTGCACTGGCCCAGGGACTCGGGGTGCCTCAGGCAGAGCCAGACTGAGGGGTTGTGGAGTTCCCTCATCTCTTACCACGCCCTAAACTGGCCTCCACAGGAAGAGAAGCAGGGACCCACCCTGGGCCACCGACTCCCTTCCAGTTTCCGATTCTGTTTCCGAGACCCCGCCCTGGGTGGCCCCTTTCCCGGCCTCATTATCTGGGCAGGAAAGAGGGGTGAGCTGGTATTGCCCACCATGCAGCCACCCTAACAGAACGCCCGTGGTCAGAACTGGACACTGCACTCTCAGGGGAAGCAAACGTTTAATTCGTGGGAAGCTACATTTAACATAGAACATTAAGATCCCTCTAACCCACAAAACCCAAAGGGGGTAAATAAACTTGTTCCAACCCTGGAACTTCGACAGAAGGAGAGTTCTCAAAAGGTCTTAGCACCCTGTCTCAGGCAGGTGTGTCATTATTTTCTCCATCATCATCTTCTGGAGGAGGAGGAGGCAACTGTGCGAGCCCACAGGGAAGCTAGTCACAAAGTCACCCCACGCTCAGGAAGTGGAAGGGCAGTCGAGTCCCAGAGACTCAGCCTCCTGGGACACAGCTGCTTCCACTGCACCACACTGCCTCAGGTGGATTTAAATATTTGGTCGTTTATTTGCTCAGGTGGACGTTTTCATATTTGTCATATTAAGCAATTTGCTGAGTAAGCTTTATATTAGTTGCACTGTGGCTGTTTCTTTTAAAAGATGTTTTTTAAAGGAAATTTTCAAAATCCTTCAGACTTAGTTGAAGGGCCTGACAATATTGGTGAGGCACACTATGAGGTGCCCCTTGGGTGCTCTTAGGAACAGCAGTGCCAGGGAGCCAGGCTGAGGGCACATCAGCTGGAGGTACCCCCCCCCGCCCCGCCCCCGGCTCCCACTGCACCCCCAGCAGCACCAGAGATCAGCCTCTGAAATAACAAGTGTGCAGCAAGAGTGACAGTGAACTCTTCAGAGCTAGAGCCTGGCATTTCAGGATGGCTCATAACATGAACTTCTCTTTTATGTGCATTCTTTTATGTGGTAATTTCTCATCTGTCTCAAGTTGCCCCCCATAGTTTGGTTAAACTGCACCTTATTTTAGTGTACTTTACTCTGGGGCTCTAGAACAGGGTGGGGAAATACTGGCGAAGTGATGTAAAAATGATGCTTAAATACACAGGAGAAATCCAGGTAGAGACACACATAGGGCCCTCTGGGTTGGGATGACAGCTCCATGGTCCTCCTACTTACTCTCTCGGGATCTTTATCTCCCTGTATGCAAAATGAGACTGACAACTATCACACATGGCTGTTGTGAAAATTAAGACACAGGTGTGTGAAGTGCCCGGCACATTCAACAGATGGTCAGTGAATGAATGACATAATTAAAAACATCCCTTAACTCAAGGCTATAAATGTTTCTCCATATGGGACAACGCAAATAGAAGTGGAGAGTATCATGCTAAGTGAAATAAGTCAGACAGAAAAGGACAAGAACCACATGATTTCACTCACATGCAGTATATAAAACAAAAAGCAACAAACAAATGAACAAAACAAACTCACCGACACAGAAAACAGTATGGTGGTTACCAGAGGGAAAGGGGGTGAAATATATGACGACAGAGGAAGACTAACTAGCCTTTGGGTAGTGAACCCACAATGCAATATATAGATGATGTATTATAGAGTTGTACACCTGAAACCCATATAATGATATTAACTAATGTTACCCCAATACATTTTTTTAATTAAAATGGGGACTGACCAAAGATAAATAAACTGGAACTGGGGGGGATCAGTAAACAATTTCCATAATACAATGCCATTCTCCACGACAACGGTGTTCCCTAAATACTGAACATGTAGCTCCTCCAGAAACAGTGCAAACACAAGTGCAAGGTGTGCCCAAACATCCCTGGGAATACTTTACAACACTGTGATGGTTTATGTTACTGGCAAATGAGGAGAGAGGCACATGCTTATCCCTCAGTGTACTTTTACCCACTTTCCCTCAAAGGAAGGGAATATTTCCTGGTCTTTCATCGAAGGTTACATTGTAAATAAATGAGTGATGTTGGCTCCTGGGACTAAGAGGACATTCTTAGACCTCGGTCAGGCAGTGACTTTTGGCCACCAGAGTCATTATATGGAAGTACTGTGCAGCTGAGCTCTCAGGAAGGAGGTAGTTCGTTTGTGGATTCAAAATTTTTATCTAGGCTTTGATTTTAACAGTTAAAAAATGTTATGTGGCTAAGGACATGAAGAAAACAGGAAGAAGAAGGTGTGATAGATTAGGACGGTCAGGTTGTGGATAGTTTTTGCTCTGAAAGATCATTTATCTTATTGTTGCAGAAAATATTCTTATTATTACAAATAGTAAACACTGAGAAAGCATATTTCAAAAATTTATGTTCATAAGAAGCTTTGCACAAAGCAACATGTTGAATGAAATAAAAGCATGTAAATTGTTAGCTCATTGTCATCAGGCACGGAATGCAGCGGAATGTGAACTGCACATGGCTCCGTCACTGACACGGGAAACCCGTAAGTCCTCAGACAGCAGAAAACTAGAAACCAGATTTCAGAAATGATGAAGCTTAAAGGTTCACTATATGTACCTTTAGTGGATGAGAACTGATAGATTTTACTAAAAATATTACCTGTATATTAGTGAACAAGAATTGATAGGTTTTTTTAAATGCACATGTTAAGTCTTCATGAAATGCATTTTTAAAGCTTTGTGTATGACTGTTACCTCTGAAGGTCTTATTATATGCCGCTTGCCTCTTGGAGCTTCAAAAAAGAGCTGTTCTTTGGCACCCGTATTAACTTGTAATAATTTTCCTGTTATGACAGAATGAAGTAGAGAGACAATTAAACTCTGCATTTTTTAATTATAAAGTGATAAGCATGGCTACAACTATTTTGATTCATTTTAGTCAAAGTTTCATAAACTGAGTAAATAAATGGTGAATTAATCAGAAGTACATGTAAAGGCAATTACATGACCTGGTATAAATCCCGAAGCTATGATTTTTTTTAATATGGACCTCATAAAGTCTGTCCTTGACCATCCTTCAACAGAAGAATCACATTTGACTCCGCTGCATAGAAAGTGGCTATTTTTCCAAGGCCTGACAAAATCTGTCTGTTGCTCTTTTCCCCCGTTGCTGCATTGAAAGTGGCTATTTTTCCAAAGCCTGACAAAATCTGTCTGTTGCTCTTTTCCCCTGTTGCCTCCTAGCACGCAGCAAAGGCAGACTGCTCTGGCAAGGACTATGGCATCAGAAACGAGAGCCCTGTTGCAAACATTCACATTCCTCAGGTCTAAATTTTAAATTTGCCCTTTAAACTTAGAGACAGGAAGATAACACACAAAACAAACTATAAATGCTTATTTCTCACCCTTCTCCCACCTTACTTGCAAATACATAGAGAAATCCAAGACTTTCCCAAAACAAGATGCTGAGCAAAAATAGTCTTTCAGTGTGACATAAAATTATAATCTTGGGTTCATTTTGATTAATGTTGAAAAGGATAAGATTTCCCAATTCTCTTCCAACCATGTCAATAATCCTTTATGGCTTGACATTTAAATGACTTAAAAGAAATACTTTCTAGTATTTTTTCAGCATTTTTTAATTATGAAAAATTGCAAACATATGTGGAAGAGCAGTATGGAGCACCTCTGTGTGCCCAGCGTTCTGCGTCAATGGTCTCCAGTGCACTGCCAACCCCGCTTCCCAAACCCCACTCCCTCCCTCGCCCCGGACTGACGCGGATCTCAGGCATCCTAATACTTCACCTGCACACACTCACATATTTTATCTCGTCCCATTTTTTCCATCACTATTTACATCTAGTAGTCTTGAAATGTCCTCCTTGGAAAACTAGTATTAAAGCAAGAACTGCGTATGGTTTATAGCATGCTCTCTATGATTAAATGGATCCACCCAGGTCTGAAATCTAGCTTGGCTAACCTTCAGAGTTGGAGGTCTATTTCTAAGTGACTAATTAAAAAAAAAGGTTCTCTTGTTTGATTATTGAAAACCATTAATCATCTGTCCTTTGCTGAGTTATAACATAGTGAAGAGGGGGTTTTGTCTTGGTTGTACGGATCAAGTGAGTTTAAAAATGTTTCCAATGAAATGGGCACATTTTCCTGACCTTATGGCTGAGCATACATAAACAAATGAGAAAAGAAAAAAGGGAATTAAATTAGCTTTGGCTACTGAGCATTATAAGAAAATGAGTAACTGATATTTTTTTCAATGAACTAAATAGATCTCGAGAGTGATTGCAAATAAAAGATGTGGAAAAGGATTGGAGTATTCAATAAAAAACGTTCTTTGAATATGACTAATTTTAGAAGATTTTTGGCCATGGGTTACTAACAGAACTCACAGGATTCTAATTCTCAGATAATCCTAACAACTGCATTTATACCAGTTTCAAAGGTCATACTTAGAAAAACAAACCAAAAGCTTTTAAAATAGCTCAGTGAAGTACTGTATGATTGCAAGACTATTACAGAGTCTAAACGCAAGAGAGCAGTATCAGAAGGGCTTTGCAGAGCCATAGGCACCTGCGGGGACTTCCTGAGCTAACGTGTCTCCCCCAAGAACTGCCCTCCACATGACCCAGAGACAGGGCTGCACAGTCAAATGCTCTCTCCAGGGAAACTGGGATTGGGAAGGTGAAGCAGCGGTGAGATTAGATGTGCTGAGATTAGATGTGAATTTTGGGACGGAGGGTGGCATTTTGTGGCAACAGAGAGCGGGTGCGTGCAGATGAGGAGGAAAGCCTGCCTGTGCAGACTGAGGGGCCAAAAGCAGACCCCAGCGAGCAGGGGCGCTGGAACCAGCTGCCACAGAACAGAAAGGGAGGGGAGAGGAGCTGCCTGCTCAGTTTCTGGGCGTTTTCCAGTTCACTCCTGAAGCCAGTTCCTCGGAGATGTTGCTTCCTGTTTCCAGTGGAGTCTATGAGATGTCCCTACGTCTTTTCATAAACTCATCCTGTATTGTTATTATTTTCTAATTTACACTGGATTGAATTGGTTTCTGTTCCTTGCAACCAAGGGTGTGAAGAAATTTTTTAAAAAACCAAATATTCTTGTGTTAAGAAAGTGGAATTATGTATGGGTGTGTGTCCTCCCCAACCCCTCCCAACTTTTCTTTACTGCTGTTATTGCAGGGTTTTTTTAAGGCATAGAGAAAATATTTAGGTCACCACTTTTCCCCTGCTGCCTGCTGCTGTGTAATATATAACTACTGAAATATTCTGAGGACAGGAGTGGAGACAAAGAGTAAAACAAATGTCTGTATAATCTAGGTATATATAATTCACCCCTGAATAATAGTAACCCTAGTCTTTCAGAATCCTCACATTTTTATTCACTAGAAATGTCTGCTCACAGAGAACAAGGAAACTAACAGAGACAGACTCCCTCGTTTCTGAGCAGGTACAGTAGTAAATCACGCAGCTTGCAGGTGCATAGAGCTTTATAGCCCACAGGACAATTCACACATCATCCCAGCTGCTATATAATTTACAAGCTAAAACAATTCTGAAATTGGTACTAAATGTACCAAACACATCAGGCCATTGGCAATGAAAATGGGAATGAGATGTCCTATTACGGCTTAAAATGTTACTTGTTAAATGATCTTATAGTCCTGATATTTCTAGAAATGAACTAATAACAGACAGAAAACATCCTTCCATAATTTATTTCTCTCCATATATAGTTTTCTTTCTCACACATTCTGAGCAGGAGCCTTCGTTCAGGGATAGCTGTTGCTTCTGTAAAGGCCTGATGCACTTTCTGGTTTTCCTAGGACCTGTGGTTGCCATGGACACGAAAGGCTGCCAAGGCTCAGAGCTGGGCCACTCCCAGTCCCTGAGGAGCCAGCTGGCTCCTGCAAATGCGTTCACTATGTTTGAGTAGGTCAGGAAATGAAGCAGATCCCTGCTCCTAAATCCTGCCCTCCACCCTTTGCAGACCTCCGAGGCTCTGCTGTGAAAAGCTAGGCTGCTCTTGAGGCAGCCTGGCTCATTCTCAAGGTCTGGTGTTTGTGGAACTCCAGGATCAGAAACTTCGGAATATCTACATGACACACCTCAGGGCAGTAAAACTGGAGACAAACTAGGGAAGCCCTGCGGGCGGGCGGGCACACTGCTGTTATTCTCCAGATGGTGTGACTGCTGCCCCCAAATCAAAAGTATTCTGTTCTCTCAGTCCTAGAGACCATTCGGTCTAATCCTCTCATCTGACAAAGGGACCACTTAGGAGGAGAGGCAAGGTGGCTTTTCCAAGACCTCGACATCCTAACTCTCAGTGCCATTTCTGTCATCCCTAATGGAAGCTGGACAAGACACTGGCTTTGGGCAGACTTGGAAACAGTGAGGTTTGCCTCTCTCTCTGCAAAAGTGATGGCTCCACGTTGAGGGCCTTCACACAGAACTTCGCCCAGGCCCCGTGGTGACAACCATGGATCTCGGCCAAGATCTCACTCTCTCTATCTGGGATTTACTCTTTACATCTTGAGCATTCAACACAGGGCTTATACATTCACAGAATAAAAAATAATCCTCTCAAAATGTGAATCAAACTACAATGAGATACCACCTCACACCCATTAGGATGGCTGCTGTCAAAAACAAAATAAAACGAAGCCAAAAAGGAACTCCAGAAAATAACCAGGAGTTGGCAAGGATGTGGACAAGTTGGAACCCTGTACACCGTTGGTGGGAAGGTAAAATGGTGCAGCCACTGTGGAAGACAGTATGGTGGTAACTCAAACACTGAAAAATGGTTTTATCATTTGGTCCAGAAATCCCGAGTCTGGGTATATACTCAAAACAACTTTATACTCGTGCTCGTAGCAGTGCTATTCACAATGGCCAAAAGGGGGAAGCAGTCCAAGCATCCACTGATGGACGACTTAATAAACAAAATGTGGTAAATATATACAATGGAATATTACTCAGCCTTAAAAATAAAGGAAATCCTGACACACATTACAACATGGATGAACCTGGAGGATATTATTCAAAGTGAAATAAGGCGCTCACAAACAGACACACACTGTGTGATTCCACCTGTGTGAAGTACCTAGAATCATCAAACTCTTAGTGTCAGGAAGTGGAATGGTGGTTGCCAGAGGCTCAGGAAGGGAGAAAGAGAAATGCTTGTTTGAGGGGTATAGTCTCAGTTTCACAAGATGGAAAGAGTTCTAGAGATGGATGGTGGTGATGGTTGCACAGTAATGTGGATTTATGCAAGTCCATTGAACTGTACACTTAAAAATGGTAAGGGGGAGGGGTTGGGGGCTAAGTGAAAAAGGGGAAGGGATTAAGAAGTACATATTGGTAGTTATAAAACAGCCATGGGGATATATAATACAGCATCGGGAATATAGGCAATAATATTGTAATAACTATGGTGCCAGGTGGGTACTGGAAATATCAGGAAATAACTTTGTAAAGTATGTGATTTCCTAACACTATGCTGTACACCTAAAACTAAAACAAAATAATGGTGAATACAAACTATAACTGAAAAATAAAATGAAAAAAAATGTTAAGATGGGAACTTTTACATTATGCATATTTTATCACAATTAAAAATAATTTTAAAGAAATCTTCCTGATCAAAACTATTCCCCCTATGTTCCATCTTCTCTTTGCTCTTCATTCCCTAACATGCAAATAATAAATTGGTTTTAATCTCCCGATGGTCATCAGAGTGGTGGGATTTTACATGCTGTGTCAGGTATTGTGTGTGGGTGTAGTGAATGTTAAATAAAATTCACCATACTCTAGTTTATGTACACTAAGACTGGCGCTGACTACTCTAAATCTTTCTTACAAGAAGGCATAACTAGGCACACTAGCCAGAGAGAGAGAGTAAACAGAAAGAAATCACAGCCTTTCCCCTCACCCTCCAGACAACCAAGCCGAGAATATCAAAGAAGGGGGTTGAGAAGTGGCTGCTCCCATCTTCCTGCTTGGGCTCACTGGTTCTTAGATGACTGTCAGGTGGCCAGTGTCCTCAGGCGGCCAGTGTCCTGCCCCGTCACAAATGCCAGCTTAAGCCCTCAGCACCATGTCCAGCATGGCCCTGACACGTGAGAGGGACTTATCTGATCTCCTTTTGCCCTGTTGGGACTTGCACCTCTTACAATAAATGGCACTCTTTCCTCCTCTGTGCTGCACTGTACAAAATGCCTACAGGTTGTAGAGCTTACATAAAGTCCACCTTCCAGTGCAGCAAGTACAGTTACAGCTAAATGCCTGTCTTGGCAGAAGTTTATGGTTACTGCTTCAAGAAATACTTGAAATAAAATATTCTGGCATCTCTGGAATAACCTCTTTTTGGTCGAGGCCCTTATCACCTCTTTCTTCTGGTTTATTTTACTTCCCACCTCCGGGTTCACTCACCCTCCACAAGATGGTAGGAAATGCCCCCACCTAGGCCTCTTAGGGTTACTTAATGACTATAGGATAAAGTTCAATGTCCAACTCCCTCTACATCCGGTTTCGGTCTGTCTCTCCACATTCGCCTCCCGTCCTGCCCTCAGCCACTCAGCATTACCCGTTATGTCTTGATCACCCTTGTTTTTCCCACCCCCATGTCTTGGGACACCATGTTCCTTCTGAGCCTGGAAAGCTTGTCCTAGACTTTGCCTTCTGGGTGAATTTCTGCTCATCCCTCAAGTTCTGTCCCAAAGGCCACTCCTTCTATGGAGACTCCATGGATTCTCCTGGGAGCTCTTCCTCACAGCACACCACTGGGCTTGGTGCTATTCCACCGCAGTGGACTCAACCTCCTCTGAAAGGTGGGACCCTGCCCTTTCCACCAGCTACCTTTTCCCAGGAGAGGATTCAAAGGTGCCCTAGCCTGCAGCACAGATGCTTCCCCTTCGCTGCTTGCTGCTCACCTGCCCGTTCCCGGCCCGGCTCACCACTTCCTCTGTGACTCACCATGTCTTACTCCCATGCCTTAGTCAGTTTGTGCTCTTGTATTATTCAGGCACTAGTATGTCTCCCTCCTCACTAAATTATAAACTCTGAGGAGAGGAGGAACCATGTATCACACTTCTGGATCCTCCACATTTTCTGGCTTAAGCCTTTACATATGGTAGAAGCTAGACTTGTTAAATAAATAAACAGACATATTCCCATGGTGTCTGTGGGCATGACTTAGAGGAGGCAGGGAGTAGGCTGGGAGTTTTGGAGAGCAGAGAAACCTGAAGTAAGCTGAATATAACTTCCCACTTCTGCTGGAGGATGAAAATTGCATGAGACTTTTTGGGCAGTTCTCCCAGGGATGGAGCATCAGTGGGAAAAGGGAACAGGGAAAGGGAGGAGGCCAAGGCAAGGACACAGCGCGCCAAACTCAGAGGGGCGGTGGTGGCTTGCTAGGGCAACAGAAAGTATTGTATGTCTTCGGCTGTCTTAAAACTCAATGGCTTGAATTAATAATACTCATAATAATGAAAAATACTCAAAATGTTAACAGCAGCTACTTTTGGGTTATAAAATTAGTCTTCTATATTGTGGGGTGCCCCCCTCTGCTTTTCTCTAAAACTCATTTGCCATCCTCTCTAGAAACAATATATGGATGAACATCGACTTTTAAGAACAAGAATCATATTTTAAAAGCCACAACATACTTTACCTCGAGAGTCCCAGTCGATATGTGTAATGTAACTGGACGCACCTTTACAGATGCCAACCCTTTTGCTTGTAAGTACATTATAAATATCCACAAAGTTATCGTGGGATGCCACAGCAAGGTATTTCCCAGTATCTGTACAGAAAAAGGTGCAGTTAATATCAAAGCATTTCATAGAAGATTTGACTTCCAGGAACTTAGCATGTTAAAGTGGGGAAAAGGTCAAGGAAATAATGAAAACAGTCCACTATTGTAACTTTTTGTCCCAATACATTTTTTTAAGTTTTTGCTGTTATCTTTACCTTTGGAAAATTTAATATCAGAGATCATTTCTTTTCTGTGATGGAAGGAGACCATGTCTTCAACAGTGTCAGCATTTACAACCAGGAAACTCCCATCATTCAAGCCGACTGCTAAGGCTTTCCCGTCAGGGGAGAAGGCACAGCATCTTCCACCTGCAAGAGAATCCACAGAAAGCACTCCTTACCCATGGCTTTCCTGTCAAGCAAACCAGCGAAGAGCTGGAGACATCTGTGTCTGTGCTTGCGCATGCACATGCGACTGCCTTTAACACTACTCGTGAGAAGGACTAAAACGCCATGACTTAAGACATCTCTTCCCTCCAAACTCAAGGACAATGAGCATAATGTTAAAAACACATTTTCAATTTTTTCAAGGGTATCCATTCATTTCTTGGTATCTGCATGCCTGGGGTTTTCAAAGGATTACTATAACCTGTATATTTGCTCCCAAGAAAAGAGATAATACTTAAAAACAGAGGTTCTATAGCAGAATTTTTAGAACCTATTTTTTTATATCATGCCTTACATGTGAAAGTTGCTCTAGAGAACCTTATTGTTCCATTCTCTGATCCATGGGTCACAATGCATAATTCTAGAGGTGAAGGATTTTGTTCCTGCCTCTTCTGTCGTGAGAAAGACAGGATACAGACAGCATTCTTTCACAAGATGTCTGTAAAACTAATCATGGGCTGATGCTGCTATGTGAGCAATGTTTTCCACTGCTTTGTAGGCTCACAGGGAGACACTTCTAATGAGGAGTGTGGGCTCTGTGGGGGCAGGTTCAATAGGAATCCTAAGAGCATTGCCCCCCACTTATTTCAGAGACTTTGTAAGCACAGTGTCGGGGATGGGACAGCCATGCCGCCTGGCGTTAAGGGCTCTCTGCTGAGCTTCCACACACACTCCTCAGTCACCATTCACCGTGTGCTGAAAACCATGCTCACACCAATAGCTTCACACTGGCTCCCCTAACTATATCTTCTTCCTTCACTTAAACAGCTATGTAGCTAGTGCTGAAAGAGCAGAAAGTGAGCCTGCCCTTGAGATCATCTAGATTAGCTTAACCACATAACATATTGTACAAACCAGATCACTTCTGGGAGTGAAAGAGGGAGCTATTAATAATTACACCAGGAGAACGGCTGTAAACTGGGGTGAAGGGTCATCTTATCTAACATAATTTAGTAGTTGTTCTTTTGAACGAATTTCCAACTAGTGAATAAAGTCCACTTGTCTGATACTCGAAACACTCACCATGAGGACAATATGGTCTAATCTATCATGTCCCCACTATCAGTTAGTGGCCAAATGATTTGATCTGTGGCAGTTAAGAACATGGGCTTTGGACTTGGACCTGGGCTTGAGTTTCCACTTACAAAGGCCCAGAAGTCCAGTGTAAAGAGAGGCAATATGGTAGAAGGTGACGGTGTCACGCAGTGGCCACAGGTGTGCTCTTTTTGAATTCAGTACCATTGCTTACAAGCTGTGAGACTTTCAGCAAGTGATGTATGTTCTCCATGCCTCAGTTTCCTCATTTGTAAATGGTAACAATAATGGCCTTATTCACTGGGTTCCCATGAAGACCATATGCCAAGTGCTAGCATCACTGGCTCAGCAATGTTAGCCACTGTCATTATTGTTACTACTCTCCTGATGCCTTTATTTTATCCCAGAATGCACGCCTCATGCCTCTCGGCTTATAGAACTACCCAATACAAATACTTCAGCGCTAGACCTCAATGTCATCCTTTCCTGACTTACGAACTTTCACAAATCCCTTGGGCCTCAGCTCTCATGGTTCTTTGATGATGAAGCCGACCCTGGCAGCAGGCCTTCCTCTGAGCCTCCGAGGTACCCTGTTTGTGCCAGATATCTTTGGTTTGTCTCTGCACATCCACTCCGCACCCTGTTCAGCGCCTGGAGCTGGCCGGTGTGGAGGATGGCATCAATAGGTCTCCCTGCCCTCTGGCTTCTGATTGAGTTTGGCCAAGCAGGTACCTAGGCAGGAGAGAGGGAGGATTCCCCAGCTGCCTCACTGTGGGGTCACTGCATGTGGGCGAGTCTCCAGGCTGATGGTCACAGCTGCTGTCAGGCGGCCATCTCACACCACTCTCATTTTAAGTGCCCTGCAGTCACTCCCTCCTCTTGCCCCTGCAGGCCCAGGGCTGGTACTGGTACCCAGGTGCAAACAGCTAATGGTGCTGCACAATCCCTGGTCATTTCTCAACTCTCCCCCACACCTTTATGAACAGTCTTGTTTTTAGATGCTCCTCAAATTACCCAGTTTGAATGGACCATCTGTTGCTGGGACTCTGTTCAAATCTTGTCCATCTCCGACACCCGTTCATCTTGGGATCCCCAGCACCTGACATGTAGAAGCTACTCAGTAAATGTTTGCTGAATGTGTACTTGTTATACCTCTTAGTTCCAGTCCATATGTGTGTTCAGTACACATTCACTCATTTCTTGATATTAAGGATTATTTTTTGCATAACTGATTTTTGTTTTTCAGTAATAAAATCAGCCCTGGAGACTATGAGACATATAGTTAAATAGCATTCTTTACAGCAAGCTCATGTATTTCAACTGATGCACACAGCCCTTGATGAGAAGAGGAAGGACATATTGCCCCCAGGTGGCAAATGTCTGTGAAGTGCAAGGAAAAGCAAGTGAGTAACAGAGCTGGCACCCACAGATCAGGCCAGCCTCCTGGAGTAATTCTGCCTGTGCTGCAGTGTAACTGCAGAGAACCCCCACTGTCTGACACATGTGGGGCCATGCAAGTGGTGCTGTCAGTAACTATCAGTTGAACGAATGAATGAATCCAACCCATTCTGCTGTTTGGAAGTACTTTTACAGATGTATAAGGTGATGTCATGTACCTTTTTTGAGTTTCCGTACTGCCAGCATACGGTGCTGGGAAGATAATTCCCAGATGCGAAGGGTTTTATCATCGCTCACTGTTGCACAGATGGGCAGGAGAGGGTGAGCTGCCAACCCCCACACTTCTCCCTCCATGTGTCCCTGTGGGGCGAAAACGGGACACCATCAACACAGTCCATGCTTCCTGGTTCGCTCTTCGGCAGCCTAGTACTACTTATTCAGCCTGAGAGTATCCCAAACAGGTTCAAATATGAAAGAGCACAGTTACAGCTTCATTGGGCCAAAATGATTGCAGTGAAAAAGTTTTTCATTTGAACTTGAATCTAAAGCTGGCTGTGATGTGATGCTAAAGCAATCATTTGGGAAGCAAAATATGGACTTACTGCTTATAATTTTTGTTTTATAGGATGTCAAACTTGTTCTCATTTAGAAACATCCGGGTGAATAACAAAGTGCCTTCATTTTATCTGTCATTTGACATCATATAAACACAGCACACATGGACCTCCTTGTAAAACAGACTGATACAAAGACACAAACCACTTCCTTCAATAAAACCATATTCTAAAAGTGTCCTGCGTGCAGCATTTGTTTGCAAATTGGTCTATCCAATGAACACTGGGAAACTGAAAGGTGCTCAATAGTCAGTGGACCAATTCCACACACCTATCTGTATCTTAATCGCAAACACACTTAACTGCCTTAGAATAATAACTGAGATAAAACAGTATTTGAGAATGAACAACTACAGAGAAAACAAATCCGATCCCTATAATTTATCACTCAATAAAGCTATGGAAAGAGCAGATCAGTGTACAGAGCAATAAAAAGGACCAGATTGTTTGCCGAGTTTCTACTTTTAGTGGCTAATTATAAGAAGGCTTTGCTCAGTGAAGTGAAAAGGAAGACCGTGCACCGGCATTTGAACGGTATCTGCAGTTGGAATGCTTCGGGGAACAGGTGGCTTTCCAAAGAGAAATTGGATGATTGCGGTTTAACTGGGAAGCTGTTTGAGCAAAACAGTAATTTGGCAGAAGACACAAAGTTCCAAGTGCAGGTGACATTCGAATATCTGAGAAGGGCTGCAGGCCTTCAACGTTGCTTTTGAATTAACTGGATTTGGAGCACCAGTATCCCTAGTTCTCTTCCCTTCAGAAGCCTCCCACCCCCAACCCTCAGACCACAGTCAGAGGGTGGGTCAGGCATCAGCCCCCACTGCCCCTGAGATCCAGGCCACTCAGAGCTCTTCTACCAACCAAGTCCCTCTGCTCATTTTGCTGTAGGACAGGGTTGTGGGGCTCTGAGGCCCTTTCAAACCACTGCCTAGTTTATTGATTTAAAAATTGTATTTCCTTAATCTGATTGTAGCAGTTCCCCTATAACACAGGATGAGACAGTGTGTGAGGCAGGCTGGGAGTATCTTGAGAGGCACAAGGAAATGAATTTGGGATCTTGCTTTCCTACTCTAACCCCCATAAAGCTGATGATAATAGACAGCTGCACAACTGAGCTGACTGTATTCAAAGCACACATGATGGAAACGATCAGAAATCACTTCCTGTCTCTTCCCTTTCCCCACTCTAGCTTTCTTCTCTTAAAAAATAAGCAATGTATTCTAGGTTATATTGGAGGGCCATGCTGCTGAGCCTGGAAAAGTCATCCTGGTATCTTCCCACAGCAGGACAGCTGATGGTCTTAATCACATGCCTCTGCTGCCCCACAGTTTCCCTCAGGGCCCATTTTCTCTCCGAACAGGGCGGTGAGCCCACGAACAGGAGACCCTGTCCACGGTGCACAGCAGGAGCCCAACACACACTGACTGCCTCCAACTACTGAGTTCTACCTAGGAGGGAACGGCAAGTGTGCCACAGACCAGAAGAGGGAAGGGATGCTGAGGAAAAGGAAAATGGTGCACATGTAAGGAGAGAAGATGGTCCACCAGCCACGCAGCTCAGGAGGCCGCGCCTTCTGCTCTGTGCCCCTGCATCTGTCTCCATGCTGAGGCGTTTAGAGAATAGGCAGGTGTGAGGAAAGAGAAAGGACTCTGGTGTCTGACAAACCTTGGTTTGAATTCTGGCTCTGAGGTTCTTAGCATGAGGCGGAGGCCAATTTACTGGGCTTTGGGTCCCTCATCAAAAACAAAACAAACAAACAAAAAAACAATTTCAACGGAGCATGTCCGCTATGGAGATGAGAGAGATTCTTTACAACAGTACTGCTTGACACATAGTAGGTGCTCAGTAAATGGTACCTGTGGTTATTTGTACTGTTAGAAAGGAATATAAGAAAGAACAGAACTATACTGCTTGTATAGAGAACAAGAGTAAAAAGACTTTATTGTCCAGTCTTTATGTTTAAACACATATTTAAATAACTATAACATAATACTTAGAGTTTAAAGTTAGAAATCTTAGAGTTTAAATCTTATAGTACTGTTTAAATCACATTATGGTATAAATCTTACAAAATATTTAGCAATATAGCATGTATGAAAACAATTTAAAGTCTCAAATAGGTGGACATTAAAAAATCAATTATGAATTAAAAAGACTTTAAGTTGTTTAAGTTGAAACAAACACTTGCTTTTCAATAAAATTGAATAAGATGTCATGGCCAGAAAGAAAGGGAAATCAGTCTGGCAGGAAATAATGCAAGCACAAGCAGCTGGAGAAGAGAAAAGTGCCGCCTCGGGGACACCTCTCAGCATGGTCCTTGGTCCTGACTGCCTAGTGCCGTCAGCGGCACAGCTTCTGAGGTTTGTTTTTACCACAGAATTTTTTTTAAACTAAGGTTCTCCAGGATATCCAGAGTGGGACTTGGGCACAGGCACTTCTGAACCCTACTGAGTTTAGACTGTTCCCAGGGTGCAGTCAGTCAGAGGACCCCTCCCACTGGGATTTGGGGAGGGGTCCCTAGTAAAGCGGGCCCACGGGCGCGAGCCAAGTCGGGGAAGGAGAAGTCCTTTTATTGGACCCACGGAAGTCCCGAAGCTCATGTAATCAGTGCTCATTCTTTCACTGCACCCTCTGAACACACACCCTCACCGTCCTGTGCTTTGTCCATATATAAATAAGGTCTGTTCCTCACCAAATTGGACAGGACTACTTACCCACTCACCTCCACAAACCACCACCCCCTCGGGTGAGGCTGTATCATTTCTTCGATCTTTGAGGATTTACTGATATTTATTTTAATCTTATTTGTAACTGAACGTTATTCTTGAGGGCAGAGGGAGGGTCAGGAGAATATATTGCGTTTCTGTGAATCAAGGCCGAGGCTAAAGTGAGGCACAAAATCTAAAGAGGTGCTTGTATGTTTGGGGTGTGCAGAGCAGAGAACTCGTTAGTTTTACAGATGGACAGACTGAGAGAAAATACACCTAAGGGGCCTTAGGCACACCTGGACTTGACTTTGATAATCAGATTATGGATTTCGAGCAGATATAGTCATGGGATAAGGCCCTTGGAGCCCTTGGGAAGAGGGAATGAATTTTGAACATGAATAGGCAGCAACATGAATAATGGGTGGCCTGTGATGGGAAGACTCTTGAGGCGACCCTTGTGATGCCCCTGATTTTCACACTCTGGTGTGCTCACCTCCCTTTGAGTACGGCATGACTTGTGGCTTGTTTTCAATCAAAGAAATAAGGTAAAGGTGATGAATGTTCACGATTACATGCATGTGATGATATGATTATGTTACATATGACTCCAGTGCCTATTTTCTCTCCCTTGCTGGCTTTGAGGAAGTGAGGGGCTGTGGTGGGGAACCCCATGGTGCAAGGGCCTATCCGCAGCATCTGAAAGCTGAAGGTGGCCTCTGGCCAATGGCTAACAGTCCTACAGCCACAGGAGCTGAACACTGCCAACAACCTGAGTGACCCTGCAGGAAGATGCTTCCTCAGCTGAGCCTCAGCGGAGACTGCAGCCCTGACTCTGACTGCAGCCTTGCGGAACCTTAAGTAGAGACCCAGTTTAAGCCATGCTCAAACTCCTGACCCACGGAAATTATAATAAACGTGTGATGTCTTAAAAGCTACTGTTTGTGGCAATTTGCTACATAGCAAGAGGTAATTAGTACTTGTATAAGCAGAGAATGAATGCTTCCTCAGCCCAGGCCTGGCCCTGCGGTGAGCGGTGGTTTAGGACATACACAAGCACAGTACCTGAACGAGCAGTGTCATTGGGCCGCTTTTGTCAATTTCCAGGATCTCTCCATTTTTGGTGCCCACCAGGATATGGCCATGCCCCAGAGTGATGGCACGAATCGAAGGGTTATCCTCCAAAAGCAAGCCTGAGGGGGGAAAATGTATTTAATAAACACTAAATAAAAAGACTGACTATTATATAAACTGTTTTTATAGTTCCAAAACACTAGGTATTAGTCCTCCTGGACATTTCTACCAGGGACCTAGGGCTCCGAATGTGAACGAAAGAGAATTGGTTTGATCATGTTTTTCCCAGTACATTAGTACTGTTGTCTCCATCCCTGTAAACATAAACATCTCTACTGCGTATTTGGGAGTGGTAGGTACCTTTAGAGCTGGTGGACAATGCTGCTCTTTTAATGGCATAAGTCTTCAGGCATCTTTCAAACATATCGTCCCAGAGCTCCACGATTCCGTCCTTTCCCCCAGTCACAAAGCCCTGTGAAGACACACATGGGAACGATGATACACACGCTAAAGTGACCAGCTACCCACCCTGCCCCAACCGGAGTCCTGTGTAGGTAAAGCAGCTTTCTTTGTGTGTGTGTTCTTCCTAAGTACAGGAGACTGAAAAATCTGACAACACATAATAATAATATGGTATTTTCTGGAAGCATCTCTCCCCTACTTCTCAAGCGGGATCAAGTACGTTCTCATTGTGTGCACTGCACTTTCTCCAGACAACCAGCTCTCGGTGCTCGGGGTCATGGCTGTTTCTGTGTCCAGTGCCCTGACTAGAGAGTGGCTTCCTGCAGAACAGGACCAGCCTCAAGGTCTGGCCGTTTTTGGGATCTCATATTCTCCTCCAGAATGAATCAGTATTAACATCAAAATGAAAATGACTATTAAATGTTTTTAAATTAAATACTTACTTCTCAAAGAAAACATCATTATTTTAATAGAGTAAATTAGGCACTTCATATAGCAAAACCATCCTGCTAAATTGTTCAATAGACATCAACTTCCACAATAATTAAAAGCCACATTAATGTTCACAAAACCTGGAAAGTAAGAAGCTTAACATATTGCATATATTTTCCTGAATAGTGATATTTATTCTTGTTCTAAGTTTATGATTTCTTGGCCTTACTAGTTTTCCTTTCTGGCAACTTCTCACATATACCAACTGTTCTTAGAAAAGTCTTTTTTTTTTTTTAAGAAAAATATTGAGTAATTCCTTCTGTTTTCTCAGAAACTTTTAATTTACTGCATTTGAATGATGCGTACAAGGAAATAATATTTTGAAGTTTATTACATTAAGTATTCTTATTCTTACTATAGATGTTGCACCCAGGAAAATTCAATCCCCAAATTAAATTTAAATGCAATGTATTATACTGTGATATCCTTGTCTTTTCCCATAATTTCTTAAGTTACCAAGCAATAAAAAAAGTTTATACACATTATATCACATCAACTTCTGAGCCTACAAAAATGTTGCATTCTGCTTTAATCTTTTCTAACATTTTCAGTTTCACCAAAAGCAAATTTGCTAGTTAAAGAAAAGAACAACAGAGCTTAACAACTAAAACGACCACACAGTTATACATATAACAAGGAGCTACTGCTGTAGTGGGATCGGCATATTTACCTAGGAACAGGTAAATGCAAAATGAGCCTTGCCTTACATATATTAAGTGACTTTAACTATCTGGAGGTCAAAGAGCACAGGTGAATCAGTACCCCCAGCAGGTGAGCAGAAAATGAAAAATTGATATTTTCTGACAAATTCACTGAAGAAAGTATTTTAAAAGCCCTGAAGGTAGGTGTGACCTTTATAAAGAAAGACTGTAAGGCAGATGGGTAGCTGGACAGATGAGGACAAAGATGAGCTTGAGTGGAAGTATGGGCAGTGTGAGGGCTAATTTTGTGTCAGCCTGACTGGCCACAGGTGCTCAGATTGAATATTACTGCTGCGTCTGTCTGTAAGGGTGTTTCTGGAGATCAGTATCTGAATTGGTAGATGCAGTAAAGGAGATCGCCCTCTGCAGTCAGGAAGCCGGACTAGAACATACATCAGAAAAAGGAAGAATTCATCCCTTTCTTTCCCATCTCCCTGAGCTGGGACACCTCATCACTTTTCCCATCCTCGGATGGGCATTTACACCATCAGCTCCCCTGGTTCTCGGGCCATTGGACTGGGACTGAAATACACCACCGGCTTCCTTGGCTCTCCAGCTTGCAGATAGCACAGTGGGCCTTCTCAGCCTCCATAATGACATGAGCCAATTCCTCATAATAAATCTCTGTTTTATATGGTCATGTTCTGTCTAATGGCATTTCGTTCAATGACAGTCCACATATACAATGGTGGTTCCATAAGATTATAACAGAGCTGAAAAACTCCTACTGCCTAGTTAACGTCGTGATGTAGAAGCACAATGTGTGGCTCACGTGTTTGTGGTGATGCTGGTGTAAATGAACTTACTGTGCTGCCCGTCGTATAAAAGTGCAGCAGACAGAACCACAGCAGTCTCTGAACCCTCTGGGTTTGAGTAAGTGCACGCGATGTTAGCACAACTCTGAACAGTGACAAAACCACCTAGTGACTCGTTTCTCAGGATGAATCCCCCTCATTAATGACTGTATATATCATGACTGTATGATATCATGACATATATCATGACTGTATGATATATGTGTATGTACATGTGCATGTGTGAGTATATTCTGCTGGTTCTGTTTCTGTGGAGAATCCAAACACAGCTAGCAAAAAGACCTCACGTGAACACTCTTGTTAAAGCCAAAACTGTCTACGTGGGAACAAACTGGTTATCAACATGATTTTTGGTCACTTTGATGGGAGGAACAATTGGTACTTCTGGGTCTCCGCTTATTGTGCCACGAAGGAGGGAGATGATGCTGAGATAGTTCTCAGGTCTCTTCTGCTACTGTGTGTCTACACTTATCCCAAAGCTAATCCTTAAGGAGTTCTTAGGAGTGAAAGTCAGGAAGAACTAGTGTGGAAAGAAGTGGAGAGAAATTGCATATAAAGAAATAATTATATGTGAAAGAGAAAATTGAAAATATTGATTATCCCTCTCTTCTCTTGACTGGAGTTCCTTACAACTCCTCCCCAATTCAGAGGCCACTGTGTTTAGACAGAGGATTCTCTTGGTGTGGCCCTCCCTACGACTAACATACAACTTTAGAGAATTATTGAGGAAAATGAATTCTGGAAAATGGACCTTACCTTATCCAGGGCATACATAGCAAACACAGGCCCGTCGTGAGCCTTCACTGTCTTCAGCAGTAGAATATCTTTCCAAATAAAAATATCTCCAGTGGCTGCCCCTGAGAACACTAGGTCTTCCATTCGCCCATAAGAAACACACATCATTGTTTCCAATTTTCCAACACTGCCAAAAGTCCCTCTTTTGGAGGTGAAGCCCCCACCTAGAGTGGACCAAGCGTATTTATTACATTTTTTTTACAAGTGACACCCTTCTATAAACATGTAGAATGACTATCTTCTTCAAGGAAAAACTCAGCATGTCAGCATTATGTGTATACACAGAGATGTATAAAAACAGCAAAAAATATCATAGACAAAAATATAAGGGGTTTTCTCATTCGCTCCTGCATTGACTCAGTGTTGACTGAGTCCCTGCTTTGCGGAAGGCATGGTGGTCAACAGTAGCATGTAAAGATGAAGAGAGTCCCTGCCTTCAAGGAGCATAGGGTCTGCTTGGAGGGGGGACTCAACATGCATCTCTTATGCATCTCAGTCCAATGGGCCATGCATCTAACCGCAGTGCAGTGCAAGTTCTGAGACAGCCAGGGGAGGGCGTGACTAAGTGCCTGGGGGAGCTAGGACCATCTTCACGAATTCTGAGCAAAAAGAACAGAAACAGCGCCGGCTGTGAATGGAAAATGTAAACATGTTATATATGTTTTGCCTCAACTTTTGTCACAGCAACTCCGAGGTGAGAAAAATGAATCACTGTGTAGGAGAAGGTGCATCAGATGTGTGCCTTAGATGTTCTCATTTCCCCACACTTCCTGACTAGCACTGAGAAACCAGACTCGCTCCACATAGCTCCGCGCCGGCTGGCTCCCCAAACGCACTGGGCACCGTTATCCTTTCTTGAAAAGCAGAAAGCACAGAACAGTAGCTTACTTGTGTTTTGACCAGTATAAAATTGGGCTTGGTGTTACAGCTGCTGCTAGGAGTCCAGAAATAATTTTAATAACAGGGATGGCTTATTAGTGAGAAGAATAAGATATCAGCCCATGTTTTGTCATGCTTATTTACTCATCGTTATTACCAATGTTGTAATCCACAAATGTTTAACTGACCACCTACTGTGTGTAGTGTCAGGATTTAATTCATTTCCTAAAGTCAGTGATAAAGAAACCCTCACTGAAAACAGTATTTGCCCAGCCAGCATGATTACTTTCTGCTCAGTAGCCCGACATCATTCCTGCTTTCAGAACAGAGGACTAAAGATATTTTCACAGAAGAACATTGTCCACAACTTTCTAGACATCGACGAATACGCATAGCATCATACACAGTGGTCTAAGATTCACAGCTTAGACATTAAGCAGTCCAAAGTGAATTTGGGAGAGAACATCTTTTAGGAGCATTTTAATTCTAGATTGCAGAGACAGGACAGGGGGCAGTCACAGTTTTCCTAGGCTCTCAACCGCATAAATGATAAAGCCAAACAACCGTACCTGCTTGTTGCCAGAATTTGATGTGCTTTATCCCAACCGTAACCAGTTTGTCAATGTGGTGTGGGTTACACTTTACCACAAATATTTTATCTTTATGTCCTCTGTAAAAGACAAGTAAGAAAAAATTTCTAGTTTTGATGGAAGCAAGGATGGAGAGCTTTAAAAAAGCATGCATTTGGTCTAATTTTCATTAAGCACATGTAAAAGGGCAACAAAATTAGATCATTTAAAATACACATGGGGTTTATATTAAAATAATAAGCATTGGCTTTTCTCTGCATGTCTCAGCCCTTTTTTCTGACCCTGATATTGCCAGCAAAGTCTACTTACTTATGCTTTAAACAAATTAATGAAGTATCTGAAATTCATCAGAATGTCTCTGTAAGATAAAATTAATATCACCACCATAGGATCATAAATAATTCTTGGGATATAGAGATCTGATACAGGAGGGGGGAGAAGACACTGTGATCGCATTAATGAGAAGCTTTAAGTGTAATATTTCTACTGTGGAAGTCATAACTTTGGGCTAAACAGAGTTTCAGCTAGAAATGTAGTCACCAGAAACTGGAGCCCCTGGCTCACGTCCACGGAGAGAGAAAGGATATTGTCTATTGATTCAAGGAACTTTCAGGCGCTGTGCATTCAGAAATGTGGGTTCGTGACCCAAGAGGCGGATGCAACAGTGAGGACCGATTCTAGGCCTGGAGCTATCGGCCTGGCTTCCCATGGGGACAGGAATGTCTGCGGGAGCCCAGAGCCCCCTCCTGAGAGTCCCAGCCAGTCCCACCATCAGCGGGGCAGTGCTTCTCCTCTGTCACTTCTGTCATGCCTCTGGTGTTTAACATTTTATCTGTTTAAGCACCCTCACTTAAAGCCAGAAATAGAATTTTTACTTTTTCTGGTTACTTCCTATATGTAATTTATTACTGTTAATAATATATAAATAAGCACTTATGTAAATATTTGTTATTTATTTATTATTTTAAAACCTAATAGTCTTCCAAAGAACATTAGCAATCCTGGAAAGTCCTTCTTGGAAAGAGCACGGGTTAATACTACAAATGCAAAAATGTTCTCTGACGGCAATTCTGCGGGTGTCCTGTTTGGGAGTGCGACATAAGGCTTGGGAGCAATTCCAGAAATAAATTATATTATTCGCATAATTCTGCTAAGTCGCTTTGTGTTAATTAAATTAAATAGAGGCACCATAATCTACCATGGATACCAAGTACATACTTCTTTATATTACTAAACATCACTTTCTTCCATTCCTATTAATGCTTCTGGCACACAGGTGGCGAGCCCCCGCAGTGGCTCAGGGCGTTCTAGCAGGAAAACTGCATTTCTGTTGCTTCTGAAATGCAGGCATGTGCTTCGCCTGCAATTACCTGCTAATGCAGGTGGTGTGTTATCAGAAATATTAGTCTAAAATTCAGTTTATTCGTCTAGGATGAAAGCAGAGTCCTGACTGGGACCCGAATCTGATACGAGAGGGGAGTGATACACCAGTGAGGAGGGCTGGAAGGAGAGACCGAAAGAAAAGCCACTTGGACAGGTGGATTTATGAGCTGCCATTCACTGCCAAGAATTCCATCTCAACAGCAGCAATCAGGGAAGTTTCTCTTCTCCCAAGACGGTCAGCTGGAGTCTTCAAGGCCCCATCTGCTCCTCCTCTGAATCTCCAGCAATTGAGAGATCTTCATTCACTAAGTCAAAATGCCAAAAAACCTTTTCCCCCACTTACTATGGTGCAGGGGAATATTAATTTAAAAAGTGAGTACAACACTGGGGTTCAAAGCTCTTCACTTAAAAATGACTTCATATTCTGGAATCAAAAGTTGGTTACTGCGGGGAAGAGCTAGTGGAGAGGTAAACTGATAACCACCTAGGGCAACGTATGGCGCTGCGGGCCGGGCTGCCAGCTCGTCTGACCTGTGACCACGGCTGGCAAAGCGCTACCCCCGGTGTCAGGACCAGTGGAAAGCACTGTTCAGACACTGAGCTGACTCAGCAGGGAAGGAGGCTGGGGTGAGGACAGGTGGTCTATAAACAGCAGTCCAGAAAAGTCTATTTATAAGGTGGGGAGATTAGGGAGACCATTTGCCTGCTCTGAGAGCGGATGGCAGATGCACACGTCGGGGGCCTCCTTCCCAGCAGGCCACGGCCTCGTGACAAATGGCACTCCCGACTCCAGTGACATTGACAATCCTTCATGGGATGCGAAGACGGAGGGAAACAAGGGGCAAGGCACAAGCCTGAGCACAGCTGCTTTTCTGCTGCTTGTAAAAAGCTCTGATGGAGATAATGCATACATTTCTAAAAGCGGAGTGATGAATAACTCTCTGGAAAGGATTTCAGAATGTTCCAATTCCCCGAAACAAACATTAGCTGCTCCAGGTCAGGTCTGGCACCGTGAAATATTGCAATGTGTTTTCACTTGGATGTTAAGCTTTCTGAGCAAATTTCATCTGAGCTTGAAAATGAAATCTTACCAGATAATGAAAACGATGACCTATACTGAGGCGTGATAATCAGCAGGATGCCGGCAGACCTCGGCAGCTCCTTACCTTGTGGTGGCGATCTTTTCTCCCTTTTTCCAGTCCCAAAACACAATACTGTGAAAATCGTCTAAACCAACTGACACCAGGCATTTTCCATCGGCTGCATGAAAACAACACAAACGTCATATGACTCATTTCTTCAATGAAAATCCAAAACATTTTATATACTGTAAAGAGGAACAAGAAATTGACCTTAGGAATATGATACTGGAAGTGTCATATATTAAAGGGACCTCACTCAAATTAAATGCATAACTAGTAACATCTGACCTTCTTAAAGCATGGTAATGGGTTGCTGACTGAAATCACGGACCCCACAGTTTCATCTCAGACACAGGTGTAGGGGGGGCCTCTCAGGTAAGTCACCACCCCTCCCCTGTTTTGTGACAGACAAGTATTACGACAGTTACTGGAAGAGCCATTTGGCTCTGTGACTCGGTCTATTTTCAGCTCTAAAGAACTGGGTTCTGTTTAACCTTCCAAGAGCATTTAGAAACTAAACATAACTTCAGAATTCTTTCAAAAGGTGATATTGATAATTTTTAAAAAATCTTAATTTCTTAGTTTTCCTATTTCAAATGTTGTGTGATTGCTACAGGACATTTAGAAAATATGAAGAGAGGAAATGTTAAAATCATCCAAATTTCTGGGCATACATTTGGTGTATAGCCCGTCGGTGTTTTTCTCTACATAAACATGCTTTAAAAAAAACAAAACCAAGATTATACTGAACATACTATTAATCTTTTTTTATTTGTTTTATGATGAGCATTTTCCTTTAGTATTAAATATTATTTATAATATCAATGGTTACTATAATCTGATGAGGTTGTTTTCTTAAAATTAAAAAAATATGTAAAATTAAATTTGAAATCAAAACAGCTACTTTGCTTTTTCTCTTCGAGGAAGAAGAAGAGTATGGTCAGTAAGTCTCTCCTTCGCTGCCCCCTCACAAAGCTGGCTTCACAGAACAACGTCTCTGGGTCAAATGCGACCACACTCACTGCACGCCAGCTCAGCCTGCTGTCTTCTCTGACCACAGAGGACCAACGTTAGTGTAAGAAACACAGGAATGTAATAGACTGCTTCTCCCCAGTCTATTCAAGGTCTCACATGGCACAGTTTCAAAGGCAGGCCTGGGGCAGATGCAAATTTGGGTTGCCAGGAAAAATGAGGGAAGCCTAGTTAAATTGGAATTTCAAATAAGTGAGGAATAATTTCTTAGTGTCTCTCCCGTATAATATTTATATTTCCATTGCAAATTTATACTTTCATGGGACATATTTATACTGAAAAAAATATCTGTTTACATGAAATTCAAATTTAATTGGACCTCCTGTTTTTTATTAGCTAACTGTGGCAACACCCCTCCACACACTGACCAGTGAGTGCCCTCACCTGTACCAGAGACCCCTCCTCCAACCACCAGGAACAGTGGTCTGCTTCTTTTCTGGAGGACGAAGAGTAAGAGAAAAGAAGAGCCTGCTTTAACCGACCAAATCCTCCCCAATCCTTGACTATTACTAAGTATGAGGCAAGGAAAGTCACATTAATCCTTTCAAGCTACTAGGCTACAGTAGTATTAGATGAAGACAGTAACACTTTCTTCAAGGGCTAACTCACCACTAGCTGATTATTATAAACAAACGTGTCTTCTAAATCAAAACAAATGCTATGTCCTTATGCATAGATCTTGCTGGGCTGTAAACTGCACAAGGTCTCCTCTCAGGCATTGGGGAGGGACTGACAACCACGTGCTGCTCGTTACCAGCAACCCTGCTTTTCGCGCACCTCTAGGCCTGGCTATGTCTCTATGTTAGCACGCCTTTGTGTTCGGTGACTTTATTTTTATTTGAGTCTTCTGTCTCCCTTTCTAGATTATAAGCTCCTTCATGGCTCAGAGTAATCATGTCACGTTTCCTTTGTGATCCTCACACCGAGCTGGTTTTCAAGGGGCGCCGATGACCCCGGTGGCGCTGGGGAGGACGGTCAGGGGAGGACGTGCGTGGGGCAGGTATGAAGGGGAAGGAAACGGACTATGTTCCATGGCTGTAATTTGTGAAACTGTTTCGATTATGCTACCATGCCTTTCAAAAACACCGCACACATATTCAAGGCCTCTTTTTTTAATGTAATGAATATTAATCCTATATATTGTATTCCTTTTAAATCTGCATAGCTATTTTAATATGTCCTTCTGAGGATACGAGCACCCACCCATTTAAGACGACAGCCTTCAAAGTTTTATCTCTTTTGTAGGAGGCCTCAGGGTAAGCTCATTCTCACAGCTTGTTTCCATTAACATTTCTGCATGTGGGGTCAGCTTGTCCTCACAGCACCCTACCTTCCTGCCCCTAGAAGAGCATCGTGACCATAGGCAGCAGTGGGAGAAACAGTACAAGCCCCGGGTGCACCGGCACCATCCCGCTTCACCTGGATAGCGACTTTCCCTTTTCTAAAAAATGTTTTCAATGAAAGTTTACATTCAATATTATTTTGTGTTAGTTTCTGGTATGCAGCATAGTGGTCAGACAATTATAGATGCCCCACCCCAATATTTCCGGCACCCACCTGGCACCGTACACCGTCATTTTAATACTATTGACATTATTCCCCATGCTGCACTTTACATCCCCACGAGCAGTGACTTTTCTGGAATTCTGAAGGTTTACTCTGTGTCTGCACGCCACATAGTTTGGAAGTATAATTTGGCTACCTTTCAGTTTCTTCCCAGCTTTCATTCTCTCCCACAGAGGCTTGACCTTAGCTTTGAAAGTCCATTGTTTCTTGGCCTGTAGGTTTGAGTCTTTTTATTTCCAGCCATATTTTTGGAGTCTAGGTAATATTCTTTCAAATCTTTCCAGTTAAAGTATTCAAAGTATATATTAATTATGGATATATGTACAAAGTCCAGAAAGAATTCTAAAGCACTTAATGTCAACAGTAAAGGGCAAATCAGAAATAGAAAATTTTTATTTAGACAATTACAACTTGGTCCCTCTATTTGGGGCTCATAAAAAATGCATAGGTTTTTTTCCCTAGGATTAAACACAATGAAATCGAATTAGTCTTAGAGGTGCCCTTGTGGAAATGAGTATTATTCAATGAAGGTTTTAAAAAAATGAGGATGATATTTAGGTTAGAAAGTATTTACATGACTGACATGTTCTCTTTCCAGTCTGGTTTTCTATTCGTGTGGAAGCACCTTCCTGCCTGCAAACACAAAACCAAAGACGGCTGCTTCCCTGGTCCATGGAGATAAACTGACAACATTAAAGAGTTGCTCAAACAATTGAGATAAGATAAATTTATTCTTTGTTTACATAATTTAGAGTTATGGATTATGTTGTAAGAAATGTTTTTGACTAAAAATGTTTTCTTTTTGTTTGCTTTGGAACAGTGGCAAGAATAGATTAACCTTATGCATAACCGCTGATTTTTTTTGGTCTAGCTTTCACACCATTTGCCTGCTTTGTATTTCCATGACAATTTTTTCTCTAAAAGGAGACAAACGTACCATCAGTACATTTCCACTGCACCTCCCAAAATGAGCTGACCTGTAAGAGACGGATGGGTACGGGGTGCTGAGGCACAGGGATGGGGCCACCAGCTACACGGTAACCAAAGTTGGTGCCCTTGTGTAATGGTTAAACAAGGGAATCTAATTGCCTCTCTGGGATTTTGACTTACTTTTCTATTAGTTTGCAAAAGTAAGGTATACAGTTGCCCCTTTTCAGGTAAAGGTGTGGTTCAGGCTGTTGCCGGATGGGGGCTCTGTTCAGGGGAGGCAGGTTCCACGTGGCAGCGTCTCTGCACCACCCTGCTCACTCCTTGTTTATACTGGAGGATGGCAGGGGCAACGGGAGGCACTTGGAGTGCTCTGGGCATGACTCTCAGGCCAGAAGTTCACTGGCGTCCTCCCTGGCGGAGGACAGGGGCAGGAGAAGGCAAGAGGACTGAAGGAGCACTCCCTACCCAGCCGACCCCCAGCCAGGAGACCTGGGTGCTAGTCTGGGTCTGCTGCTGCTTGACCTTGCCCTGGGCCATGTACCGACCCCTCCGGATCTCATTCTTGGCCTGTAAAGTGGTACAGGGGCCTGCACAAGACTAGAGTTGTGTTGTTACAGAAAGTACTGTCAATAAAGTTAAACCAGCGGGGCCTTAGCTCCCACCTTCCGCAGGTGCCACAGAGACCATGAAGGCCAAGCAGGCCCCACAATTCATCTGCATGTAACTATTCAAGAGATACTAGTGAAAGTTCTTCCTGAATGATCCTGAATATTAGTGCAATTTAAAACTACCTTAGAGAGTATACTGTTAAAACTGAAAGTATTTACATGACTGACTTTTACATGAAACTGTACTTTTAATGCAGAATACATTTCATGTCTAGGGATTTCTTTATTTGCCCAGGAGGAGAATGAGGAGCAGTGACAGAATCAGCTCTTCAGCCTCTTCCTAGAGGATCTGCTTTCTCTGCCCTGGCAATGACCTGCAGGGCTGCCTTCCGAGGGAACGACTTCCAAGTCCACTTCATTTCTTGATCTTTCTTTTATGAAACTACTAAGCCCAGGAGATATGTGAGCACTCAGAAATTCAGAAATCAAGTTTCTGGGTACCAGCTTACTAAGCTGTCTCATAGTTAATGTTTTCAATCAACATTCCACTAATTCCTTTCTCTAAAGGTATTTAAGTAACATGAATTATTTCTTTTAATTCTTCTAAATTAAAAAAAATCAATTCTATGAAAAAACCTAATGATTATTAAATTGTTTATATTATTCTAAATTTCTTGCCACTCTGTTTATGTGCTAAAACACATACTTTTTTCAGATGAAATCAGTGAATAGATGCTATTTTGAGTTCCATTTTTCTTTTACTTAACTTGATACATAGAAATGTGCATGAAATATACATAATCCACATACTTGTTGTTTTGAATTATAGCTTTTATTATATGGTGCCAAATTGTTTGCTAGAATTATTGAGTCAATTTTCAATGCTGTCAAAAACATAAATATATTAGATTCTTTATAATCTAGTACACATTTAGGTTTTATTACTTTCATTTTTGTATTTTAATGGGTGTCTTACAACTCTTCTGGAGCGTACTTATTATTTTCACGCTAAGTATACACGTATGTATCTGCCAGCACACTTAATTTTAGGAAAAGGGCGGTTTCGCTCTTGAGGAGTAGAACTAGGTAAAAATGCAGAAGAAATGTATTTACATATATGGAATAGAGCCATATTTGACCTCGAATTAGGGCTTCTGTTTAGATGCCCTGCTTTATCAAGGACGCACAGCACGCTCACTATAAAACGCACGTCCGTCAAAGTTGTGGAAGTTTAGCATGTTGTACTCACTGATTATTGGGTGTGTTATCTGACCTTTGGACCAGCAGGTGGTATGCCTGGTAGTTCCCTTTCCAGTGGCACTCATGCCTTCTGTACCTCACATGCCCACCAGTGCGCATATACACTGCTTAGCTTGATTATTACTAATTCCAATAACCTTGGAAAGTATAAATGATAGTGACTTAACATCTCAGATGTGTAGTTTAGAGTATGTGAGAATGTGTATGCCATTAAAAAAGACCAAACTACACCATGTTATTGGTTAGAGAATAAAGATAACTGTCACTCAAACATGGTGAAAATGTGAAGTTCTAATAATAATCAAGGAAATCAAGGAAAAGTACACTAAGTGAAACTTTGTTAGTTCACTCATTCATTCACAACATTTTATGAGTAGCTTCTGTGTCCACAGCTCTATATGTGCAGAGGCAAATAGAGGAGCTCTGGCCCCAGTGGCTTACTGCCTGTGACAGGCATGGCGGTTATTGATGCACATGACCACTGCACTGCGGGGCTGTGAGCGGTCCCGCAGAGCAGTGATGACAATGGGTAAAGGGATGTAGGAAAAGGGACACATTGTCTCTCCCTGAGAGAATGGAGGAGAACACTTTCAGCTGGGTCTTATAGGATTGGAGGATTTGAACAGACACATGGCGACAGCATGAGCAAAGGACACAGGCAAAAAGGACAGGAGTGCATTCAGTGCCACTGACAGGTGCACAGAGCAGGGCACGAATGGGTCGGTGGGTGAAAACACTGCAGAGGAAGGCCGGCCAGGTCATGAGAGGCCAAGAATGTGCGGCCACATGAGCAGCCCTGACTCAGACAGCCAGGGGAGTCCCTGTGGTGGGAGGTACCTGTGCTTCCAGGAGACCCCGGAAGTGTGTGGGATGGACTGGAGGAAGTACAGACGGAATCAGAGACCAGCAGCTCAGATGAGAAAGAGCAAGGGTTTGAACAAGGAGAGCAGAGAGGAGGGGCACATGAGAGAGACTGGGCTGTACAGTCGTGGAACTTAATGACCAATATTATATGTATTGTACACGATGAACATTTCATGGAATTTGGCAGAAGGAAATTATAGAATCAGTTTTCTATAGAAAAGTTAAGAAGTTTTTTCTACTGATCTAACTTCTACTATTGGGTTTATGAAACATTTCTAAATAAAAACACCTTTTGTGATAGGTATTTAGTCTCCAATTCTAGCTTAAAGAAATGGCCTCACTCTAAAGAAAATTATATCCATCAGTCAATATTTTTATAGTACTGTGTTCAACTTTTAAATAAAAAAAAATGGAACCTTCAGTTCTAGTTTTCAGTACGAAATTTATGTTCAAAACCCCAGTGTTGTAAAGTGGCCCTTTGCAGAGAACTCGCAGCCCTCACTCTAGTTCTTCGTCATTTAAACCGCAAGTGCTGGTCTCCCACTTATTTGGAGAGTGAAAATTGATGGTCTGAATCACTGCCAGACATTTGCAACTAAGTCTTGCAACAGCAACAGCTGCTCTGGATTTCAAATCACTCGGGCAAACGCGGAACACAGTGCGAGCTCAGGGTAATGACTTGGGAGAGGGGAAATGAGGCAGACAAGGAGAGGATGTGCCATCTAAAGGTGACACTTCTTTGTGAGGTATTAACATATCTGATTTCCAGTCAAAGACTGTGGAGCTGACACACAAACAAATCTCAACTAAATAGGAGGAAGTTAGAAAGAAGGAAAAAACCGCAAGTAAACGCAGAACTGTCTGTCAATGACGAGTGGAGAACAGGCTCACCTGAAAAATCGAGCGTGCACACTCCTCTCTGATGCTGTCCTTTCAGTAGTGACAGGCATTTCAGAGTCTGCGTGTCCCACACATGAATGGCAGCATCTCTTCCGATCTTAAATAACAGGATGAGTGTATTAATTACTTGCATGTTACAGTAAGAATAATTTTGTTCTTTAGAGTCAAATACTGCTCAGCAATAAAAAAACACACATTTCAGGAGTAGGAAGACCCTCGGAAGTCATCTGGGCCAATGCCACTATTTTCCACATAAGGAAACTGAGGCATGAAGCGTCCAAGAAGATTGTTATGGCATCGAGTTAGGTGGGTGCATGGCTCCTAGTCAAGGGACTTTTCAAACCCTAATTCTACTGTCCACTGTCATTCGTTTCTGTCAGTTAGTTCTACCTTTCTCTTCTCAACTCCAGGCAAAATTCCACTTCTTGGTCACAAGGAAGTCTTTTTATGTTGTCATGTACTATCATCTGAGTTCTTTAACCATATCAGTTACTTTTGTAAAGTGGATTCAAAATTAAACTGTCCCTCTCTTTGGCCAGGCCCCCATCTTACAGGAGAGATGCACACCTGCCCAGTGGCCACATAGTCCTTCACCGGATGGATGGTCAGGCTGAGGATGTCGTCATCATGCCCCAGGTACAGCCTCTGGGAGTGCTGCTGCCTGTTGTACACGACAGCAACTGCAGCGATGTGGTAGACCACTTCTCCGGCTTGCGTGTAGAACAGATTGTTCCTACAGTCGTAGCCTCTGTAACTGAAGCACAGGTCCAAGAAATGCACAGCATTTGAATCAACCATGAATGAACAGAGCAGGAGCTGTCAGAAGGCAATGCTAGCATATGGACATGTGCAAGTAGAAACCCCCATATCTTCAGAGCTGCCTAACTTCAGTGAAGGAGTGAAGACTTCTGAGGGCCTGTGACAACTTTCTGAGGGGAAAATGGGTACTGATCATTTTAACGGAATCTGTTTCTAGATCCTCAGCTGCTGTATGTGCTCCTTCTTTAAAGTCTGAGAATACCCCTGTGGTAAGGTGCAGGTTTTCCTCTGCCACCTCTCCTGTCACAATCACCTTCCTTCCACTTTACAAAGTCACTCCTCTCATCCATCTGGAATCTTACCACGGTCTGGAATGTCAAACCTTCCAGGGACACCAAAGCAAAGGGGCAATTCATGATACAACAGTGGATGTTGAAAGTGAACAGCGCCAATGACTGGGTGAGAAGTGCTTCTGCAAGTCAAGTGATTTCTAATTTTTGGCTTTTAACAAAATTAAGAGAGATTTAATCAGATCACTAGACTACATTTTGTGTGATATATCAAAATCATGCTATGTATTTTTGGCCTACAACTCAAGAGGAATATAAAAAAATTGAGTAATGTAGCTATGATTAAACTGCTTCCATTCTCACTGACTTATTTAGGCAAACAAGCTTTCTCAATGCTTATATATCTTAAAAAGTAAAAAATGGGAATAGACTTAATGCTAAACTCTGTCATACTTTACCACTAAGTATGCATATATATGACTATATATCTGAAGTTACTGAAAAATTTCATCTCATCAAAAGAGTGTTTTCCAATAAAATTTTTATGTTTAATAACTGTCTATTAGAATCTGTACTATATTTAGATTGATTTGGTCAGCTGTGTACTACTAATAGTTGTTATAATAATTCAATCTAGAAAAAAATTGTTAACATTTAGAGCAGTACTGTGCAATAGAAATATTATGTGAGCCACATAAGTAATTTAAAATTTCTAATGGCCATGGTAAAAGGTAAAAATAGATGGAATTTATTTTGCGAACATTTAACCTAATGTTTCTAAACATTGTCATGTCTACATGTAATGATATAAAACATTTTAATGAGATGCAGTACATTTTTTTCATGTTAAATCTTTGAAACCTGGTGCGTGTTTTACACACACAGCACATCTTACTCCAAACCAGCCACATTTCAAGTGGGCAGTGGACAGATACCACCCTGGACAGTGGAGAGAAGCACAAGGTTACAGGGAATGCAATTTAAATTGAACCTGTAGACATTTCTGAACCTACAGCAGAAGGTATGATAGAGTAATCAATAAAAGACTTTCAATCATAAAAAAATACTACACCAGGGTAAAATTCTGTGGGAGAAGTAAAATAAAAATGAGTTCAAGAAGAAATGTGAGTGATGTAAAATTTCCTACTTTTACAGAAGCACTGGTTCACATATTTCTTAAATCGATGATGGTGGGATTCGAATGTCTGTGGCATTTATGTTGCACTGCTTCCATTTAAATCAGTGATGTATTTATAAAACACTAGATAATATATTCTTCATAACCATTTATACTTTTGCTGAGTACTTTCAGATTTCAACTTAAAGTTTGGAAGGCCATATGTAATTCTCAACATCTGAAATGATTTAAGGCACATGCTATTTGAAGAAAACCTCGTCTTGTTGGAGCCCCACACAACAGAGCAGCAGCTGCAGGGGTAAAGGAAGCAGTGGTGGTGGACAGAGTACGGTGAAGTAACAATGAGCTGCGGTAGCACACACATCACCCAAGTACAGAAAGCATGAAAACATCGAGGTGCACACACTGTGATGGCCACAGACCACCGGCTGAGAAAACTGGGCACAGCATAATGGCGAAGATACTAATCACAGGTACGTGCGAACAGGAGAGAGGAGCCAGCTGAGTGGGAAAGCACAGGGAAGGGCACGTCCTCAGCCCAGCAATAAGGCTGGGGACAGGCCACCCACCCGTGTATGAACTGGAGTTTCAAGCTGTCCTCAGGAGCCTTTTCTCGTTTGAGGAAGGGCACTGCATGGTTTTTCTCTTTACTTTGTTGCTTTAGCTGAGGTAGATCTTCTTTGTAAACCTAAAAGTGTAACAGATATATTTAATTGAGACTCTTTTCTACAGGTTTTAGAAACAGTATCTTGACATTGTCAGGGAACCTTTAATTATAAGAAATCATGTTTTGAAAACATGAGGCTAAAAAAAGGTCACAAGACACAAAGAAGGTCATCATGTAATGACAAAGGGGTCATTTCTACAAGATATAACAATTATAAATATTTATGCCCCCAACACCAGAGCACCTAAATATATAAAGCACATACTAAAGAGAACTAAAAGGAGAAATAAACATTAATACAGTAATAGTTGGGGCTATAATATCCCACTCTCAACAGCCAGGCAGAGAATCAATAATGAAACAGGAGATTTGAACAGCAGAAATCAAATGATCTAACAGACATATATGAGGGGGGAACCAAAATTCTAGAATTATCTTCTGGAAGGTGGCCGCCCCCTCTGTATTACAGGCTTCTCCCACAAGGTGAGTGTTCTAGGAACCCATCTGTACCAGCCGGCATTATTGTGAGAGACTGCATTTGGATTCAGATAATTTTTTTCAAGACTTTCAGCACATTTGCACATTTCATGATGGGTGATTTAGGAGCACACCTGCCGGCACCAGGCTGAGTGTTCAGCAGTTTTTGACCAAAAACAGCATGACCCCTGTGCTCCACACCCCCTCCACCTGATCTCACCCCAAGCAACTTGTTTTTGTTTCCCCAGATGAAAAAAGTCCTTAAACAGAAACATTTTGCTGATGTAGAAGAGAAGAAACGAAAAACGGCAGAAGCACAAAAAGACATCAAAATTGACAAGTTCAAAACTGTTTTGAGCAGTGGAAAAAAAAGTCTCAATAGGTGTACTGCACCAAATGGAGAGTACTTTGAAGGTGACTGAAGTTTAAACATGTAAGAATAAATACACAATTTTTTATAAATAAACTCTGGGTTTTTTGGTCCCCTCTTATAGAGAATATTCCATACAACAGCTGCAGAATACATGTCTTCTCAAGTGCACATGAAACATTTTCCAGGATAGCTCATATGTCAGAGAAAAAAACCATTCTCAACAAATTCAAGTAGAAATTATATCAGGTATCTTTTCCAACCATTATGGTATGAAAGCTGGGAAATAACACATAGGTGGAAATTAAACAACTTATTTGAACAACCAATGGATCAGAGAAGAAATCAAAAGGGAAATCAAAAATATCTTGAGACAAATAAAAATTGAAACAACACTCTAAAATTTATGAGATATTGGAAAATCGGTTCTAAAAGGAAAGAAAGTTTATAGACATAAATGTATATATTAAAATAAGGAAAAGATCTCAAATAAAAACAACCTAACGTTATACCTTCAGGAACTAGAAAAAGAAGAATAAACTAAGCCCAAAATTAGTAGAGGAAAGGAAACAATAAAGATTAGAACAGAAGTAAATGAAATAGAGATCAGGAAAACAATAGAAAAGATTAACAAAACTAAAAGTTGGTTCTTCAAAAAGATAAACAAAATTTAGAACACCAGACCTGATGTCAAATTTTACTCTCTTTTAATGAACAAAATGAACAAAAGGTATCTTTTAAATTATTGGGGGCTAAAATAATTCTTTTTTTCTTAATTTGCTATTATGTTTTATAAGTAATTTATATCCAGAAAAATATGGCATTAGTTTTCTAGTAAGTAATAAATTATCAAAGATATCAATAAAATAGAAATAACATTATTTTTCTTTTAAAGCAAAAATAATCTCTTGATGATTCTGACATTTGCAAAAGTTGGACCTCAAGTGTCCACATTTGGAACTGTTTTCTTTTCATGGACTCATGCATCTTGACAGTCAGACTCTGAGCTGTAGAGCGAAAGGTCCCAGTCTAACTCAGGACCTAAAATATGTTGCTGACTGAGAGAACACTTCCTACACTTTAAAATTAAAGGTACAAAAATCAATCTTTCACTTACCATGTACTTAAGCCCTACTACCAAGTATATCAATTTAACACATTGAAAATTAAATATAATCTATTAATAATTTCTCATCTTCATAAAAGGAAAGTGTTCATTTGATGAAACCACATTACTAAAAATATGAAATATTATTTAAAAAGTCCCTGTTTAGCATTTGACTGAAAACCTCTTTTGAAAAAGGAAGTCAGAAAATATCTCAAAAATGTTCTATGACAGGTACAATGAACTAAGCTTTTAAAATCTAAAGATAACTACTCATCTCAATTCATGATGTGTTTGTCAGCTCACCAACTGCTCTAGAGCACTGAGTTCTAGTCTTGGAATTTCTACTGCTTATTTGAACAGTCACAACGTCTGTGGGCCTCAAATCCCCACCTGGTGGAGAGAATAAAAATCCCTGCTGAGGGATACCTCAGGAAAATTGTGAATGTAAATCGAATAACATAGGTGAAAGCTTTGGAAAACAAGATGTCAGGGAGAATATATGAACCCTAGGCACAGGTTTCAATACAATTATGACTTTGCATTCTTTTACTAGCATCATTTTCTTAAATACAAACTTCCCAACCAAAGAAAAACATTTCTTTCCTCCCAGATCTTTTGTTCATTTTGCTTAAATTCCATTTCTCCCCGATATTAAGGCACAATACTGTACAGTGTTTGTGTGGTATTTCCACCTTAATAATATCTTTTCAAAGCCTTATCTTTAGTTTTATTGCATTGCACCAATACACAAACTGATGTAGTCTTGTAGTTCAACCAAGGCATCAGTTGAGTGGCATTTTTACTGATAAAATTTTTCAAACACTGAATCAATGAGTGATATTTATGGGCTGAAAAAAATATCATCTGAAAATCAGTAAATTCAGTGCCTATATGGAGGCAAAGCCCAGCAGTTAAAATGTGTGCTTTGGAGAGAAGCCCAGATCTGCATTCTTAGGCAGCTGATGAGGAAGTAGGCAAATCAGTTACCCTCCCAGGGTTATCGTGGGATTGAATTGGGTGTATGTAAATCACAGGATCTGGCCCCATGGAGACCCTCCATGGGTGGCAGCTGTCACAGGCCTATCTGGTAGGTCTCCTCGGGCAATACTGACAGCTGCTGTGTCTGAAACCAGAAATCTTACTCACTCAACGTTCATGTACAGGATCTGCTGCACGTACCTTTGTTAAACGACAAGGAAAAAAACAGAATTCCTGTAGTTATTGTGATACAAGGAGACATGTGTTCAGATTCCCCTAAGGATTGATCTGTTTAATGTTAAATAAAATGTCTACTTTCAAAATATTAGGACCCAATTTGGATATAATTGCCCAACTTTTATACTAGAGATAATTTCTGACTGGAGAGAGAATGTGCACTATATTTGGGCTTTTACTTTAATCATATGGATAATCGTCTCCATCGGTTAAGAAACAACCATGGCTCCAGGATGACCTATTCTGTAAAGAAAATACATGATTCAATGATCTTCTAAGAGAATATAAAATCTAGTAGCTTACATGCACATTTTTTCCTCAAAAAAATATCTTAAAGTTTTAGGTGCTAGGGAGGCAAAAACCCCCAAATGTCATTCAGTTTCAAAACCTTTAATGTTACTCCTTTCCACTTAAAAATATTTTAAAGAATATAATTAGGTAAATGCCATATTTTTAACCTGTATTTAAAGACAAGAAGTATGCAATTGTCCTTATATTTGTCCTGATTATGCTCTGCCTAAGTGCCGGCCATTTTTTGTCCGTGTCCAACTCCAGTGAGATTCTGGGTTATGAGACCTTTGCTCTGAGGCTGCCTGCTTACTGACCTGGCGATCATAATTGATTTGAGTTTCTTGTTCAATATCGGAGTCCAACTCCGGCACGTCGGATAAATCTGAATCAGATTCTTCACTGTAGGAATCAGTGCCTCCTTCTGTAGAAACACAACCCACAAGAATTGAGCAAACATTCTGAGACTCTAAAGAACTAAACATTTTATTTTTAATATTTCCTTTTTTCTGTCCTTCAAAGTAAATAAAAATAACCACCCCAGTTATCATTCAACGTAAATCCTTAAAACATCTCTTTTTTTTCTTTTATCATTTGGTTAAGTTTAGCATACCCCTCCCCCCTCCAGGGGCACTGATGCACTAGAACAATTTCCCCCCCGGAACCATTTCCACAATTCTATTACATCACAGATTTTTGAGTTTTAAATCTTGTCTTGGAAGGGGGAGAAAAGGCAGGTTTTACCAAGGACAGGGCTGGTACAAAAGAAAATTCAACCACTTATTTCAATAGAGACCCTCTTTAGCCTGTTAACATGCCCACTGAGTGTCAGTAATTGTCATGGTCACGGTTGCTGCAGAACCCCTCCCAATAAAAACCTTTTGCACTTAGGGTTTCATTTTATTGCCTGATCATTCCTGCTGATATCCCAATAAATAAAAAGATTACACACCCATTGGACTGGAATACATTGGCCCACATTGTGGACCATTCTTTGAAACCCATTCTGGAGGCAACTTCTATTCCAGCAGTTACCCTGTCACCCCACATCCTGACCGAGCAGACCTTCTGTCCATCACAATCATTCTAAGGAGGCTGAAACGTATGCATTAAAGTATCTTCAGTGGTTAATTCACATAAACCTTAGACTTTCAACTTGAATTTGGTATAAGCAAGATCCTTCAAAGGAAATTAACTAATGGACCCATATTCATCTTCAAAGCTTCCCTTGCTCTTTTTAACTTGAAAATGTACTATAGGAATGACCTTTTCAAAATTGCTTTAACTTTTTACCTCCAGAAGAGATGTTAGAACATTGTTTGAAACTTTCATTGAAAAATAAACAGATGTTGGAAAAATCATTACTGGCTTTACCCTGGGGTGCGGTTTCCAGCAGGCCATTGCTGACACCTTCTGGAATGAACCTCCACTGGAACACGGAGTGGTCAGCCCCTCCGGTGCTCACCACCCACTGGCAGTCATGAGACCAGCGGACATTCGTGACGTGTGCAGAGTGGCCCACGTACTTTCTAAATTTGGCTCCTGAAGATATTTTTTTAAGAAGATTAGTTACACAAAAAATAAAATTTATTGCTTAGAAAATTACATTCCTATTCATGTGGAGGAGAAAAATCTTTAAATATATCACAAAATAATCTACAGTATTACATATCATAACAAATAAGCAAATGCTCCAAAAATATTGCAATTATCCCAGTATGGATTAAGCTAAAAATGAGCCGTAAACCCTGACACATGTGGCTCAATTGGTTGGGCATCGTCCTACAAAGAGAAAGGCCACTGGTTCAATTCCTGGTCAGGGCACATGCCTGGGTTGCGGGTTCAGTCCCCAACTGGGTACTGTACAAGAGGTAACCAATCAATGTTTCTCTCTCACATTGATGTTTCTCTCTTCTCTCTCTCTCTCCCTTCCCCCCTTTCTAAAAGTAAGTGAATAAATAAAATCTTTAAAAATGGGTCTTAAGCCCTGTAGCTAAAGACACATCCAAACCTATTCCAAATAATGCCTACTGCTTCATGATTCTGAAAATAAATGCTAAAGAATGAATACCTTATACATTCTTATTTAAATACTAGATAAAATGGGCAGTCCTCACAACTGGGAAACAGAAAATAATTCTGTTGGAAAAAGTCAAATTACTGTTTGGGGTCATGTAGATGTACATTTGGAAGAATGACATTTTTTTTTTCTCTGAAATTGATTGCTTTACTCAGTAAACATCATCCCCAGGTAGTGAATTCAACAGAAAAACTAATTTGAACTTATACCTGTGGTTGAACTACTGCAGTAAAGTCTTCAGGGCACTGTTGGTAGCCAACAGCATAAAGGCACTCATGAAAACAAGAGGGTCCACCTTGTCCAGTGGAGATTGGATACTCCGAAGACTATGGGAGATTTCAGGGGGCCAGCAAGCACCCATCTCTCCTTCAGAAATACTTCTACCTTTAATAGTCACTCTTTGGGGAAAAAGGCTTTCAGTTCCAAGTATCACATTTAAATATTAAACACCCACTAGGGCCCCAGATGGTCTGCGAACCAAAGGGTCACGGGTTCGATTCCCAGTCAGGGCACATGCCTGGGTGGTGGGGCAGATCCCTAGCTGGGGGTGCACAAGAGGCAACCACACATTGATGTTTCTCTCCCTCTGTTTCTTTCTCCCTTCCCCTTACTTTAAAACTAAATAAATAAAATCTTAAAAAAAAATAAATAACTACCCACTAGAGAGGTAAGGATTTAGATTTAAATGAAGGTGAAAATGATGGCTACATGTCCCTTTCCTGAGAGCAGGTTCTAACCAGGTGAGGTCCTATTACATTAGGGCCTCCGAAAAAAAGTCTGGGGGGTGCTGCCTTAGAGGGACAGGAAGGCTTTGGAGCTCAAAAGCAACCTTGCCTATTTCAAAGAGTTGCCTAAACCAGTTTTGGTAATTTCATAACGTCAAACAGGTTCCAACTAAGCTCAGTTGGAAATGCTGGCTGATGATAATTCAATAATTAGGAAGCAAAGTCTATTCTTTCCTTATCTCTATAGATCTTGTTGGGGTATCCTTTCTTGCCCTGACCTTTATACCTTCCTCAGAGATCATTTAACCTGTCTCTTTGCAGTGGTTCAAAAATATGCTCACAATTAAAAAAGCAAAAGCCAAACTCATAAAAACAGTAGGTCTGTAGTTAACTAGAGGCTTGGAGGTGGGAGAAATGAGGAGACCTTGGTCAAAGGGTACACTTTCAGTTATAAAATGAATAAATTTGGGGAATCTAATGTCCAGCATTGGGACTATAGTTAACAACACTGTATTGTACACTTGGCAGTTGCTAAGAGAGTAGATCTTGAATGCTCTTGCCATACATACAAAGACAAGGTAACTAAGTACAGTGATAGATGGGTTAACTAACCTTAAAGGAGTAACCATTTCACAATACATTCATGCAGGAAATCACTGTACACCTTAAACATCCACAATGTCATTTGTTAATTATATCTCAAAGAATCGAGAAAAAAGAAATATGTCCACAAATTCTTTAATACAAATCCATATGAACAGACTATGGCACAAGTGAAGATTTGTGACAAACAAGAGGAGGTCAGACAACAAAGAGCACTGCAGACTCCTCCTGGCTCTTTCTTGGGTCTCTTGATATCATGTGCTAAGGCCATTCAAGCACCCCATGGAGAGGCTCACGTGGGAAGGAACCGAGGCCTCCAGCCAACAGCCACGTGGGTGAGCTGTCTTGGAAGTGGACCCCCGCCTCAGTCTAGCCTTTGGTTGAGAGGCCTCATGACAGACCTCAAGCTAGAATCATGCAGCTAAGCTGGTCCTGAATCCCTGAGCCCCGGAAACTGTGAGTTAATAAATGTGGGTTGATTTAAGCTGTTGAATTTGGTGGGGAGAGGAGTCTGTTATGCAGCAGCAGGTAATGAATATACACTTGGTAGGCTGGAACTAAAACCTGCAAAGGCACTGGTGTCATTCATATTTAGGTCTCTCTCTGATCTTTTTTCTTCTCCTTTCTTTCTCTTTCCTTTTTCCTCTTTCTTTCTCTCTCTCCTTTTCTCCCCTCTCCAGGCACACTGGCTTCTTCACCATTTCTTAAATATGCCAGGCACTCTTTTCTGTCTTTAAGCCTTTGCACTTGCTGTTCCCTGTCTGGGATGCTCTTTCCCTGAAAACTTGAATGGCTGGTCCCCTCACCTCCTTCAGGTTTCTAGTCAGATGGAACCTTATCAGTGACCTTGTTGACTGCCCTATTTAGAGCAGCAACACTAGACCCTGACTGGGTAGCTCAGTTGATTCGAGTGTCGTCCTGATATGCCAAGTTTGCAGGTTCAATCCCTAGTCAAGGCTCAAACAAGAAACAACTAATGAATGCATAAATAAGTAGAACAACAAACTGATGTCTCTATGTATCTCTAAAATCAATAAATAATTTTTTTAAATATTTAAAGTAGCAACATTATGCAGCCTGACTTGAGTACTCTAATCCCATTGCTTGCTTTATTTTTCTTCATAGCACGTCTCACCATCAGACATGTTCCTATTTTATTTATCAACTGTCCCCTGAGAAGAACCAAAAGCTCAGCGAGGGCATGGATTTGTGCTGATTTTATTGACTGATGTACCTCCAGCCTCTAAAACAGCACTTAACACATATTTATTGAACAAATGAAGGCCATGTCCATCTCCTCCAAGGCTTTCTTGGAACACTGAGTGACTTTACAAGGCCTCTCTTTTTCCTCCAAACCGCCAGGAATGCTCATGCCTCAGCCCTCATCAAGGGAACTTGAACTTACCATGGACAAAACAGACTGATGAACTCCCCTTCATCACCTACTCTTATACTCCCCCAAATGACATACGCAGAGACAAAACCTGTCCCTTTCTCGTTCTCTCATCTCTATAAAAATGGTGCCACTATCCACACCTTTGCTCCAGCCCAAAACTTAGGGGTCACGCTCGGTTCCTCTCTTTCCTTCCACCCTAACCCTAACCCTAACCCTAACCCCACACCCAACCCATCAGCAAGACCCTCAGCTCTACCATGATACTGTTTCCTAGTCTCAGCCACCTCTCTTTGCACCTGTTCCTAACACCTTTGTCTAGGCTACATCATCTCTTACCTGGACTCTCACAATAATCTTCCCACTCAAAGCCTCCTCTACCCTAATCTATCCCACGCAATATCAAAGCCGGCTTTTAAAAACTGAAATAAGGTCACATTATGCCTCCATTTTAAACACTCAGTAGTGTTCCACTGCACTTGGACTAAGACCCAAGTCTCAAACAGAGGTGACAAGCATGGTCCCCACCGCTGTCCCCAGCCTCCCAGCACACCACTCTCTCCTCACTCATCATACTCTCGCCACACTGGCCCGCCTGTGCCTGCGCTGAGCGACAGAAACGATCCTGTCTGTGCTGTCTGCACACCTTGTCATGGCCATCAGCCTCTGCTCCTGTCTTGCTGTTCACAGGTTCAAAAGTGAACGCTGTCACTGGTGCCAGAGGTGACAGGGAGACAGGTTCCACCAACTTATTATTTCCACCAAGAAGTCTTGTACAAACATGCCTGGCAATAGTTTTAGCATAAAAAGGCCACAAAAGCCTGAATGTCCCTGAGGCAAATTGCAAGATTTATAAACCACAAGTCATGAAAAGTAGAACAAGTCAATTTGCTATGAGGACATGGAAACTCCTGCGGATCCCTGGGGTAGATTTTATGACTCTCACCATTGTTGTCACTGGCTGTCCACCTCTCTTCATTCATCCAGACATCCCTGTGTGCCTTCAGCCTCAGGGCTGTTCTACACAGTGTCTCACTTTGACTGACGGCATTACTCACAACCTTCTCCCACCTCCCCCGACCCTCCTATTCTAATTACCTAACCCAAGATCTACCTTTTCATTGCTGTTGTCCTGACCCAAGTTCACCCTACAAGGTTTGGTGATGTAAAGGAGAGATCAACTGTCATTGAGTTAACTCCCTTCCCAAGTCCTAACAGTTGTGAGCTATAGTGTTGCTTCTGACTCCAGTGACATTTCTTCTGAATCCCCAGATGGCTTCTGGTTGCCCAACTTGCCTTCTGTAAGTACATTACTCAATCTAACAAGATACGCTCTCATACTCAAAAGACCCATCAGGCAGAGAGAGTATGAATTTGGCACAGTGAGGTCATTTCATGCAAGTATTTTAAAACTGATAGCCCTTTTGTTAAGTGTAAGGGATGGTGGTTTTGCTGTGTATTTTCTGTTCAATTTTATATACTGTAACTGCCATTGCTTCAAAACTGCCACTTAGCTCAAAATGACTTTCTGATTACATTTTCAATCCCTGTTTCCTTGCTTAATCTAAAAATCGCTCAAGTGAACGAGTTTTCAGGCAGCAGCATGTCCCTACTGATTACTTTCCCGAGATCAGATTTTTAGGCCGAAGTCTGGGAGTCTCTGAAAGCCTGTGTATGGGCTTTGCCTAAACTTGCAAAGGAAGAAGATGAGGTCATAACAATTGGTTAATTCAGTTACATTCTGCAAAGCCTGAAAGTGCCACAAAAATTGATTTAACACAATTTAACAATAAAAGTAATAAAACAACAAAATGCAAAGGCAGAGATGGTTGTTTAGAAACAACTTCTCTCTAAAAAATATACCACTTATATAAATCTGGTTTGCAAAATCAGCGTTATGACAAAGGGTCCATCAACTGTATTATCTGAAAGAGCAACCTCTTTCTGATTCTATTTTAAATGTGGCTAAACAAATTTGCTTTGCTTTTCCATGTATAATCACAATCAGCTATGGAGCATACAAATTTTAATTATAATATTTTGATGTAATATATAATTAAATTATGTAATTTATACATTAAATTACATCAATATAAATAAAATAGGACTTGTTTAAAATGTGAAACATGAGGCTTATGAATCACAAAATGGTGAGTATAAACTCTGTTAACAAATTCTGACTTAAATTTGCAAAACCTCACATTTTAGAATGTCAAAAATATACATCGAGAATACATTCTATTTAAAAGTGTTCAAGAGCAGTAGAAATACAAAGATAAAATTAATAGTGTGCAGGAATAGACACCAAGAAAATAAGCCTTAGTTACACTGCATATGCATGCTGAGATAAGTCTAAATGAAACATCCGTTTGGGGCCTTACCTTTCTTGAGACAAGGAAACTTAAACAATTTAACCAGTCCAAAATCATCTCCAGACACCAGCACTGAGCTGCTGTAGTTCGCATCCACTGAGTTGATGTCATTGATATCAGTGTATTTTGGCCAGATTCCACTCACTTCTGGGCCTTTCACACAGGTCCAGGAGGCCCAGGGGACCCCCTTGATTTCTTCTTTACTTGTTGAAGGCTTCCCAGCTGAAAATAACCAATAAACATTAACACATTGTTAATAAAAGGAATATTCTAATTTGCTGCATTTACTTTTCTTATAAAGGCCTAAAACCTTTGTTTGTTAAAAAAAAAAACTTCTGTAAAACAAGGAAACTATAGATTCCATGTCTTTACCTAAATGATTTTTATTTACCAGCAAGGTTTAAGGGAAGTACATACTCAAAACTCAGACATAAGGAGAAGAAAAAGAAAAGTATCATTGTACCAAATGGAATAACTCAAACTATTAATAGTCACTTGAGCTTAATTAACTACACATGATATTATCTTTCATATAATTATGAAATGACTTATATCCTATTTAGTCACCATCATTTTGCCAGATTTTGTAAAAGTTTATGCTTAAACTTTTCATAATTTCAGGAACTGCAGAAGTGATTTTTTAAAAAGTTCAGGCTCAATAAATTGGTGGAAAAAATGAATATATTTTCATTATTTAAATTGAAAAGTGCTAGATTAGAATATACCAAATTTTGATAAAACATATGTAGTTCATTGGGGAAAATAGCACTGACAGTTGTGTTAGGGGTGTTCTTTCATGTACAGCAGGGTGCCCAGGCTCCAGCAGTGGTGGGTGTCTCCAGGGAACAAAGGAGGAAGAGTACAGAGAAAGAAATGCTTGGGGAAATGCTTAGCCATATACTATTTTAAAACAAGTAAGTGTATTACCTTATATTCTCCCCCTCAAAATAAAGAAATTATTTTTAAACAACGAATCTGTGATAATGATGCTCTTATATATTACTGGTGCATTATCAAATTGGCACCCAGATGTCCTGAACTCTACCAGTGTTACATAAAATTCATTCATAAAATTCACAGAATCAGAGAGTTTATGGTTGGATCACAGTGTTTGATCCACTGTTCCTGCTTCGGAGAACACAGGGCAAGGAGCTCAGAAGAGAAAATCTGACCTGTACGAAGATATGTGCAGCTGCACTGTCTACACCAGCAAAGAAAGTAGAAATAAGCCCAAATGTTCAACAATAGGAGAATGAGAAAGCAAATTATTATATTACTACTCTGCAGGATATTATTTTGTTATTGTAAATGGCAAAATGTGTTCCATATTTTTTACATATGGGCAAGATGCATGAAATAATATCATGCAAAAAAAGTAGACACAAAAAAATTTGTACCTAGTAATGGTGCATAAATCAAATAGGGCAGAGACTTTAAAAAGTTAAAGTTATATGTTACACATTATTTTATGTTAAGATTAATTGTTCAATGAATTTCAAAAATTTCAGATAAACTGTTATTTGAGGTCAAGATTCATGTTAAATATTAAAGTTTTCCACTTACATTAAAAAATCATAAAGATTATAATACAGAAATCTGTCTTTTATTTATGACAGTTTAGTATCATCAACTGAATGTTACTGATGAGTTTTAGATAAGTCAGATGAATTTCTTAAAAAGTTACAGTGAGGGGTTACAAATGAAATGTATTTGTAAAATTCCATTAGTATATTTCACCAAATAATCAATTACTACGGGCCTCCACTTATGAAGAACACAGATTTGAGACTAAAGCAATCACAGTAAATAAAAAAATGTGTCTCAAATCTTTAATAATTTTAGTATTTTTTCCTTTTTCTTATCTTTAAGCATTCTTTGTGTATATCCTTTTTCATTATAATGACTGCAAGTATTCATACCCAGTTGATGCCTTTTCATTATATTCAAGGTCTCTCTTATGGTGCAGTAATTTTTTATTTGAATGTGTTCCAATTCATTAACCTCTTCTTTGAGAGTCTGTGATTTGAGGGTCTTTTTTCAGAAAACATTCCTTGCCCTGCAGCGATGACAACATTCTCATATTTTCTTCATGTGGTTCAGAGTTTTGCTCTCCCCAAACATCTGATGCCTGCATAACTTACATGGCATTTTGTAGAAAAGTCGCTCTCCTGCACCATCATTCGTCTGCAAGTATTTGCTATCCAGAGACCAGTCAATGTGCGTGATAAAGCTAAGGGACTTGTTGCATTCTCCGATTTTCTTATACCTCTGGGCGACCGCGTAGATGTCTACGGGGCCATCATTAGATCCCACTGCGAGATAAGAGCCGTCTGGAGAAAATTTCATTTCATGAATGACTTCTTTTCGGTCTTTGATATGAACCACTTCTGTCATATCTCTGTAAGAATAAAAATGAAAGTGATAAGCAGCAAATCTAGAAACAGAAACCCCAAGTCAGGTATGAAAGCATATGTACCAGAGAAAAAATTGTTTTTAGAGGGAGAAAATACTTGTGAGAATTAGAGAATTCACTTTAAATATAAAATATTACCATATTTTGTCTTGTATAATACACACATTTTTGCCTAAGATTTTTATGAAAAATAAGGATGCACATTATACATGGGTAATGCTAATCTGGTATCTATATAAATTTTTTTTTGTTGTTGTTCAAGTATAGTTGTCTCCATTTCCCCACCACCACCCTCCCCTGACCCACCCACCCTGACCTCCCACCATCAATCCTTCCCCTTTTTGGCTTTGTCCATGGGTCCTTTATACATGTTCCTTGATGACCCTTTTCCTTCTTTTCCCCATTATCCCCCTTCCCCTCCCTATATAAATGTGTATTTTTTAGATTTTATTTATTTATTTTTAGAGAGAGGGGAAGGGAGGGAAAAAGAGAGAGAAACATCAATGTATGCCTGCGTCTCTCGCACCCCCTACCAGGGACCCAGTTTGCAACCCAGGCATGTGCCCTGACTGGGAATCCAACCCACAACCCTTTGTTTGGCAGGCTGGTACTCAATCCACTGAGCCACACTAACCACGGCCCTATATAAATGTTCTGAATTCTTTTATTCATATTTATGTGCTAAAATTGTAACTCTAGAAAGCAATAACAATATCTGTATGCAAAATAATATCCTGGAATACAATAATTGGTTTTGTTTCTAAATATAAATAAATAAATAAATAAACAAATAAATAAATAATTGAATTGAAAAAAATAAAGTGAAAGATTTTTGTTCCTGAAAGTTTGAGCCAAAAACATGGGTGTGCATTATATACAGTAAAATATAATATTAAAAGTTTATGACCAATTTAGGAAAAATTTATACTATTTAAAATAATGCTTTAGGCTCCCAAAGTAAAAACCAAAACATTTTAATGAAATGCATATTTGCTTTCATGTTCAATTATATATTATTTTTCTAAAAATTTTTTGTTAAAAAAATTGGGGTTTGTAAAATTGTTTTAAAATATGTCACGGAAAAACAGCTATATCAAGGTTACTATACACCTTTTCATATTTTAAGGACAAAAAAACTGCTTACCACTTATTGCTATAAGAGGAGCAAGTCCAAAAACCAGAAGAGGAAAATTACTTTTTTTCATGCTAAATTGTTATGGGATTATTTAACTTTCACTATGAAAGGTCAATAATGTATATATCGAATCACCAGAATATCCTATATCCTTTCTGGTCAGATTCTGGTAAGAATTTCTGCCTTCATTTGAAAGCTCGCTGAGGGTTTTTCTACAACTATGAGACAAGATGATGATTGACAGGTCCCCTGAGCTAGTAGTGATGCCTCCATCAACTCCAAAACAAACTGAATGCATAAATAATGCCAAATATTTGCTCCACATAATTCCTCACACCTGCTATCATTTATCAATAGCACGACAGTTTACTACAATGTAATAAAATAGGTATGAGGGCATTTTTTCTTTTTGGCTTGGAAAATCCATTAAAAAGAAAAGAAAATCTGGTCATCAGCCATCTTTCCACCCATCACTAAGCAGAGAAAGAAAACCTTGCCCACCAATTTGGTAATAAGTTATGTGTGGCTGGTAATGAGAATCCAGTGTAATAAACTGTGCCAAAAGCATTTTTCAAAGCTATACAGAATTTCTCTGGGCAAAACCTTCCATATCTAATTTCTGGCTGCATTTCCTTTCTGTAATCACAAAATGGATGAGCCAAATGAACATCTAATGAGTTCAGAGGAATAATAAGGATGGATCATAATTTTTATCTTTAGAAATTGCATAGGACATTAAAAAGTATGAAATGTTCTATTTTACTGTCAATTGTGGGTGGAAGAAATCTTTTACTCAAGTTCACCTCTAAAAATCTGGTGCTGTTGGAGGCTGCTTTATTCTCTCTTCCTCTTTTCTTGGTTTTCCACAAGCATAGAACCCCTTATCTGAACCCTTGGGACCCGATGAGCTTGGGAATTCATTATTCATTAGATTTTTTTTAAAGTTCACATACTATATGTTATGTAATATCACCAGTAGGGGCTGGGGCAGCACCCTGTATTAAACACATTAATATTTTTGCAGCAAATCCCATGATACATGATTATTCCCGCCTAAGAGATTAATCAACTATATCCAGTCTCACATCAGTCTACTAGGGCAGGCTGTGCTGGCAAAGAAGTCACCGAAGAAGTTTGGGTTTTCAGAGCATTTGGAATTTGTCATGATGGACAGGGAGTGGTGAATGTGCAGTGTTCCTATCTGAAAGAGTAAGTGCATTTTTCCTAGGGTCTCGCCATACATTATGACCAGAAGAACATTAATTCTAACAGAAAATCGTTTTTTACTTCTTTTTAAATTTTATTTTTCAATTAGTTTATTTAAAAAATTTTTTAAAATATGTTTATTGAGTTTAGGGAAGGAGGGAGGGAAGGAGGGAGGGAGGCAGGGAAACATTGACTGGTTGCCTCCCACACGTGCCCTGACCAAAGATGGAACCCGCAACCTAGGTATGTGTCCTGACCAGGGATCAAATCTGCAACCTTCTCTTCTAGTGTACAGAACAATGCTCCAGCCAGCTGAGTCACACCGGCCCGGGCTTCAGTTACAGTTTACATTCAGCATTATTTTGTATTAGTGTCAGGTGTACAGCATAGTGTCAGGTTACACAATCATGCCCCCCCCATTTCCAGCACCCACCTGACACTGTACACAGTTATTACAATATTACTGACTACATTCCCTATGCTGTACTTCACATCCCTGTGACTATTTTGTAACTACCAATTTGTACTTCTTAATCCCTTCTTTTTCACCCAGCCCCCGCAAGACCCTCACATCAGGAAGTGTCAGTCTGATCTCTGTATCTATGGGTCTGTTTCTATTTTGTTTGTTCATCTTTTACAACGGAGCATTTTTAATACCATTTTCAATACCAGGATACATGCCTGACTCGGAGAACAATGAAAGAGCCGTCCTTCATGCCCAGAGCCAGCTGCGATCCATCGGGGCTGAAAGCCACGCTGCGCACAGCTTCTTCCATGTTGCAGCGGGCGATCAAGGCGTGGTCAGCCAGGCTCCACAGCCTGAGCACAAGGACACAGGGAGAAAGAAAAACAAACCACCACTCATCACCATCAGGCAGCCCAAGGCAGGAAGGCCTGCTCACTACAATGTGATAACAACAAGAAAAGATGCTGTGTCCTTCCTCCCAGCATGAGACAGTGTTTACTTGTCTTGGTCGTTTCCCCCATTAGAAATACCCAGAAAGAAATATAAAATAAGATAATACTTCCAAAGGTTTTGATATTCATAGAGAAAGGTAACTTTAAACACTACCTTTATATGAAATCTCACTTTTCTCTTTGGAGATTAAAAATTACTCTTTACTTATACCAGTGGTTATTAATAACTCTCATAGGATAAGAAGTACTCCTAGATGCTATTCTTGTTAGTTTTTTTAAAAATATGAGTACCCTTTTACTAAGTATATTATGTAAACACATATAGATTGAAATTCACATTCCATCTGTTGGCCTCCCTAGAAAGAAAACAGCAGAGATGGAGAAGAGCCAATGATACCCCTGCCCAAGGCGGTTCCAAAATCAGCTGTCTAGTCATATGCTGTCTTTCCTCATAAGCTCCCTGGATAGCCCACTGCTGATAGGCCCACTCATGGTTGGGGCAGACATCCCACAGTGCCCCTCGCTGAGAAGCACAGCTACTGCTAGAGAAATGTGAGTCAAGGGTCAAATGCATCTAACAGTTTTCTGCTGCTCCGGGAACAACTATTCCAGGCACCTCAACCTGAGTAAACATGAACTAAATTTTTGAAGCTATAAATGAGGGTTTACATGTGAGTTGCCATTGTGGTATCTGACTTCTATCTGTTAGTACTTTGCAGACAATCTTCTCTTAACACACAACAGTATGTGCTAGGCAGACCAACAGTCTAGAGTTCTACCATAGCGCCAAGAGTAAGGCACATGCGGTTGAGTTTCTCTAATGCATTCTGACGTCAGGAAGGATGGGGCCAGCTCCTCACAGTACAGAGTTGCAGAGTGAATGGCTTACTGATCCCTTAGGCAGCTCGCACTGTTCAGTCTAAAGCTTATATTATTCTTTCAATACCTCGTCCATTATTCATAATCTCATGCTGTTTTTAGCTATGTACTATTTTCAACAATGTAAGCTTTCCTTTACCATCACCCCTCAGTCAACTGCCCTCTCCCTATAAAGTCACTCAGCTAATCTTTCTCAAGAAATTACGATTTATACCCTTTCTAAATTTCCATATTCAGTGTAAAAGTACATTTAAAATGTTAGCCCAATTAATGGTTGAGAAAAAGACAAATTCTGGCCATCAGGGCTCCTCGGGGAAGTTTGCAATTCTGAGACACAATACAGTTATCAAAATACAAAGGCCAAAGACGTTCTTGAAATCATTTCCATCTGGATGGGTATGAATTGATTTTCTCGGGTGTTTGAACAACTCAGTGGCATTATTTTGGCTGTTGGGGGAAGGCTCAGTGTAATGGAAAGAAAAGAAAGACAAGAGGAAAAAGTGAGTGAAGACAAGTATAAGCCAAATACGCATTTCTGTCCCATGAGGAGACAACTGGAGTCGTCTTCACTGATCTTTAGACTGATGAGACTTGGTGCTTGGTACAGACTAAAGAGTGGATTTATTTTGAGATTATACTTTACTATAAGTATACCAACTGCATTTTGATGAGATATAAGGGCAAGGGGGAAGTGGGAACCTTCAGTGTAGTTTACAATGTTCTATTTTAACTATTAAAATCCAGAGGCAGTACTCAGCGGATCGATGAATCAGTCTCTTCCTTTCCTGATTGCTCAGTCTTTTTCTGGTCTGTTTGTTGTGAAGCACATTTAAAGCTTAATAATAAATACAAAACCACTGAAATCAGTGTAATGGTTTTCATCTCACACTTTCAAATCGCATGGACAGTGCTTCAACAGCCACAATAGTATTGGAAAGCATCCTCACATTGCTCCTTTTATGCAACATCATGCTCTCAAAGACTAACATGTGATCCATTGCAAGAACATTTGAGTCCCTAATAAAACTGCATATTTTCTCAGGCACCAGCACTTCCCTTTGATTTGAGGACAATGTTAAAATTCATCTGAGAATCTATAAAGAAATAATTACATACTCATGTGCCAAAGATAACTTTGCAACCAGAATGTAAGTTCTAATGGTGATGACGTGTGTCTGAACTCAACTGTGAAACTGCCATGTAGCCCGTGGCTGGGCCGAAGGGAAGTGGGGAGATGTGTTCTTACCACAGAGGAGTGTGCTTAGCTCTCAGGACTGGAAGCCCATCTCACCAGCAGCATTTTCACTTCTAAGGACATTTCCTTTCCATGACTTAAGACGGAGCCAAAGAAAGATAACGAAATGCCAAGAAGTTAACTGCTGCAGAACTAAGTGTCTTCACATTCCAGGTGGAAACTGTGTGATTCTGCCCTGTGATTGATCCTTCTCTTAAGTAACAAGTAAATTTGGCCCAAATCAACCTGTTATCCCAAGGAAGTCAGTGAGGTGATCACAGCCACGGCTGGGGCCTCACCTGACAGAGCGGTCATCGCTGCCTGTCACTGCCAGAGGCTTCTTAGGGTGCAGGGCCAGAGCCCAGAGCTCCCCCTCGCAGTGGCCTTGCAGGATCAGCATGGGCTTGTCTCGTTCTCGCACGATCACTTCGAATATCTCGCTGTCCTGCGTCCCCGCTAGGAGGCGGTCTGCTTTCCAGCACACGCTCCGGATAGAGAGGCCTGACAAAAATATAGAAGTCAAATAAAAGCATACCTTCACGTCATTTACAATAAGACACCTAAAGTAAATACCCTTTCACTAAGAAAGCATCTAATGCAACCCATCTTAAAAATTCCTGGGGGTGGAGGACAAAGTCCACATACCATTCTGTGTTACTTACCATTGCCTCACACATGCTGGTCTGCTGGTCGTTTTTCCCACCCCCTCGTAATCTATTTTGCAAAAGAGTGACTGCTCTTTCCTGTCTGACTTGGGACAGTTATCTATGTTTACAGCTGGATATATTTTTAAAACCACATCTTAAAATGAATGTAAGAGTAATCAGTCTTTGTGAACATCTAGCCCTTTTTGAAATTATTTCCTTCTGACTTGCTATAGAAAAGTCAGTAATCACTTCAATCTTCAGGATGTTAACATTGCATTAAAAATTCCATGTGGCTGCCCTGACTGATGTGGCTCAGTGGGTTGGGCATCATCCTGCAAACCAGAACATTTCCAGTTCAATTCCTGATTGGGGCACATGCCTGGGTTGCAGGCCAGGCCCTGGTTGGGGGTGTGTATGAGAGGCAACCAATCAATGTTTCTCTCACATATTGATGTTTCTCTCCCTTTCTCCCTCATCTTCTCTAAAAAAATAATTAAATATTTTTTAAAAATTATATGTGGCTGATACTACAGAATGGCTAATTATCATATTAGGCAAGTTTAATATGCATTTGCTCAGAACTCAGACTCATTCTGTGGGAGAACAGATGTACCATGTCCCAGATATATGCAAATGAAACTCTAATTTCAGTCACAAAATACCATCAAACATCAAACAATTCACGGAATCTTCTCCAAAAGCACAGTCCCCCTTTTAATTCCGAACTTCCGCCTCTGTAGAATTTTACCCACTTGGCAGGTCTTCTTGCCCTGTCGGAGCTGTGATGTCTCAGGCTCCTCGCAGTCTGTTCTGCTCCTTAACTAGGTTCATTACTTACTTACTTATATCATGAATCTTCTCATGACTGAATTAGAAGTATAGGAGCAATCCTACTTTCGTGACTTTCAAAAAGGTAAGGATGTGAAATCTCAGTGGCCTCACCAGTGAGCTCTGTGAGCTTTTGGCATAGAAGCACCAGAAGTCAGAGTGTCTGGGCTTTAGTCCTGCTCTGTAATGGAGTGGCCACACACAGGGAGAAGAACTTTGGTTTTCTCCCCATAAAATGTAGACTATAACTATGGAGGCCATGTAACTTATCATCAAAATTGGGACCCACTGATAGCAAAAGGAGCTTCTAAAATAATTTACATAATTTTTGAAGTATTTTTTAAATAAGAAGGTAGTTTTGTCATGTTGAAAGATGAATCTGTAAACTAAGCCTCTCAAAAATATTTTTAGTATAACCCTGGCCAGTGTGGCTCTGTTAATTGGAGCACTGTCCTGTAAATGTAAAGGTTGTGGGTTTTATTCTCAGTCAGGACACATACTCAGGTTGCAGGTTCAGATCCCCAGTTGGTGGTGTGCAAGAGGCAACCAATTGATGTTTCTCTCTCACATTGATGTTTCTCTCTCTCCCTCTTTCTCCCTCCTTTTCCCTTTCTCTAGAAATCAATATGCATGGTTTTGGGTGAGGATTTTAAAGATTTAAAAATATTTTTATTTTATTTTATTTATTTACTTTTAGAAAGGGAAGGGAGGGAGAAACATCAATGTGCGGTTGCTGGGGGCCATGACCTGCAGCCCAGGCATGTGCCCTGACTGGGAAGATTTAAAAATATTTTTAACATAAAATTCTAATAACACTTAATTACAAAATAAAATAGTCTAAGACAGAGGGATGAATGGGCAAAGCACAGAGGATTTTTAAAAAAGATTTTATTTATTTATTTTTAGAGAGGGAAGTGAGGGAGAAAGAGAGAGAGAGAGAGAGAGAAACATCAATGTGCAGTTGCTGGGGGCCGTGGCCTGCAACCCAGGCATGTGCCCTGACTGGGAATTGAACCTGTGATGCTTTGGTTCGCAGTCCGCGCTCAATCCACTGAGCTACGCCAGCCAGGAGCACAGAGGATTTTTAGGTCCATGAAACTATTCTATAGAAATAATGCTAGACACATGTTAGGTGCATGTTATTATGTGTGTGTGTCAAAAAGCATAGAATATGTAACACCAAGAGTAAGCCACAATATTGGATACACGTTACTACACATGTGTCAACACCCATACAAACGCACACCCCACTGTCAGCTGTGGGCACCGGAAGACAACGACATGTCAGTGCAGGTTTGCCCCCAGGAACCAATGCATCACTCCGGTGGGAGACGCTGAGAGCCAGGGAGGCTATGTGAGTATGCGGTCGGGGGAATATGAAAAACCTCTGTAAATGTCACACATTTTAGCCATGAACCTACCTGCTCTAAAACAAAATTAAGTCTATTTTAAAAATCCAGGGTAATGCTAAGCCAGGGACGGGATGCTGAGACAACAGAAGGGTTAATTGGGGATACATTAATCCTCTAACTAGAATCCTCATCCTAATTCACTGTGGTCTTGAAAGGATCAAATGAAATAATTCATTTAATTACAAAAAAAAGTAGTTTTTTGCCTTGGCTGGTGTAGCTCAGTGGATTGAGAGTCAGCCTGTGAACCAAAGCGTCACCAGTTTGATTCCCAGTCAGGGCACATCCCTGGGTTGCGGGCCAAGTCCCCAGTAGGGGCCATGTGAGAGGCAACCACACATTGATGTGTCTCTCCCTCTCTTTCTCCCTCCCTTCCCTTCTCTCTAAAAATAAATAAATAAAATCATTTTTAAAAATGTAGTTCTTAAGGCACAAGACTATTTTTACATGTGATAACTCTTTTCACTTCTTGCTCTGATTTCATTGTTATGTGTCTTAAAGTGGAAGGAGACAACACACAGGCAGATTACTATTCCCACTGTGAGGAGAAAGCAGAGATATCTTGGCAACAGCTAGTTCAGGGTCAATTGCTCAAAATCCTCCACTGTAAACATCATGATGGGCTTTCAGGGTTGTAAAGGACAGCTGCGTGGTACAAGCAGCCAGGATCGATGGCAGGCTGACAGAGCTGGCAGCTCAGCTGTGAAGAAACTCTGCCTTGTGGCAACACTATTTTGCCACTCTTCTTTTCTTGTCCTTATCTCTCTCCTACCCCTTTCCAAAGGTTCAGTTACTATTTACTGATCAACGTATCCCTGTTTCCTCCCAGAGGGGCGGTGAGTTTGTTGTCTCCCCAGCAGGCCTTGCATCATCTAAAATTTTGTTACAGAAAAGATATAACACTTTGTTCTTGAGAAACAGGAAGTAAAGAGAGATATTAATTATATTTCAACACCAGTAAAAAGCATCAAATAATTTACTTTTTATTTACTGTTCACTATCTCTCTCTAATGTCTGTGGAGACAAGTGTTCTCAGCTTCACCCACTGCTGGACTCTCAGGACCTAGCATGGTGGCTGGGATGTAACAGATGCTCAGTACAAATTGTTGAATGAATAAGATAAAAGTTCAAAAAACAAACATTTCTTGAGTCCTTGGAGATACCAACAAATAAACAATATCCTTATTCTCAATAAGGGTATTCAAAGATGGAAAAATGTATTCATTTATTCAAAAATTTTTGATTGAGCACCTACTACATGCCCAAGATTGATGCTGGCACCATGAACGAGCCAGACTCATGCCCTAATGGAATTCACATTCTAAGGAGAAGCCAGACATTTCTAAGCAGTATCTGCACACCAAAACCAACTAAACGATATTGAAATTCCAGTTCAAGTTGGTGACAAAGGAGGATCTTGAACTTACTCCCATGGACACACCTAATCTACAGATACATATAGAACAATTTCCTGTAAAAGAAACCCCAGAACTAGCTGAACAATTGCTATACATTGAATGAACAAGAAAAAATCTGTATCAAAATGGGTAGGAGAGGCTGAGACACAATCTCACCACAAACCCCACCCCCGGCACATCAACCAACAATCAGGAGGGAACTCAGAACTCTGAGTAAAGGATTTGCACCCTATATGTGACAACCCACCTTTCAAAACCTGTACGTGAGAGATGAGCTCCCAAAACAAGTAGCTTTGAAAGCCAACAGGGCTCATGCCCATGAAACCTACAAGGCTATAGCACACTGAGAAATAGCTCTAAAAGAACCCACACACATAGACTCACCATAGCTATACTCCAAGGTCCAGTGCACAGGATGAGTGAAATGCCTGGTCTTTCTGTGAAAAATGCCTATTTGCCTAACTTGAAGCTTCAGCCTGAAGAGAAGGCATTCAACCTAACAACTAGCAGCAAACTGATATACTCTCCAAAGACCAAGGAGGCAGGAGGCTGCCTCCTTGAGCTCTCCCTCCGCCTTACTCCAGTTCACCAGTATCTCCTGGAAAGGAGCCTGTGTACATATGCGGCACCCTAGCTATTATGGCTACGGCCCAGGGGTCACCTCTTGACCGCCTGGCTCTGAAGGCCAGAGATGCCCATGTTCCCAGGTCCCACAGGATTGCAATAAACAGAGAAATAGTTCCTAACAGGCTTCCCTGCTCCCCTGAACACCCACCCAGGGCACAGTGGAGAGGCCGCAGACAGATACCCAGTCTTTCTGTGAAAGAGGCTTATTAACTTAGCTTCATAGCTGTGCCCTGAGGGGTAAACTTGTAATTAAACACATATCTAGGGGCCAACTGCAATCCCCTCCAGAGAAGAGGGAGGCTGGAGAGTGCTATCTTTGCGCTCTCCCTCTGCCCTGCCCCTGGTTGCTGTATCTAAAGGAAAAAAGCTGTGCACATACCTGGCACCCAGCTCCTGTGCCTGCCACAAAGATGACATGTCCCTCGGTAGCCTGGCTCTGGTGGCCGGTGGGGCTTGTGTTCACTGGGGTGATAGCAAACAAAGCAACAGTCCTTAGCTGGTCTTCGCCCCAGGGCTCAGTGCAGAGGCACCAGAAAGAAAGGCCCATCTCCCACTCTTCCCATGAAAGGAAT